CCACTGTACTACTGTACACTATACATTTATTTACATGTTTATACACATGGGGATACAAGGCAAATTAGGGGATTTTGAGTATAAAAGCCACCGTTTCTCAGACAGCGAAGGGCACAAGGGGAGAGTTACATTTTCAATAATAGATCACATTTTAACATTGTAAATATTTTATTGAAAGCAACATATAAGTATTCACATTATAATAAAATATCATTTTACTTAATAGATCACATATATCAATGAAGTAAATCAATTAAAAAAAGACATGAATGATAAGCATGAATTAAATATATAAAAAACTAGGTAGGTAACAACTAAGGTAAGTTTATATCAAAGGAAACGTGGAATATTTCATTAATACCTGATTTTATTTATGGTAAATAGGTTAGTAGGAATGTTTTCATCGATCATACAATACTGTTATATTTTTAACTAAAACTTGGTGAATAAAAACTGTAACGTAAATGTGAGTCTAAATATTTGGTATCGGAAAGCAGCTCTTAATAATGATAATAATGAGAAGTCTGCCTTTCTTCGTAATACACGTCTTTGAACAATGGGTTTCAATTCATGCACTCAAGAAATTAAAAAAAAAAGAGTCATTTCAAAGCATATATAAATTATAATTATGATAAGAGAGAAGTAGAGTTTAACAAATAAATATATGGTGGTTGGAATCGATTATAAAAGTAATAAAATTAAAACGGGTTTTTGGGTATCAGACATCCTAAGTCAATTGCTTGCATAACCTTCCATCTTCATTTACCATGTTTCATGGTATTTATATAAAACTAGCTTTTGCCGACGACTCCGCCAGCGGGCTTGTCGGTTATCGAGGTAAAAAGAAGTCTATAGCACTCAGGGATAACATACCTTTCTAACAGTTGGATAACAAATTGAATCAGTAGCACCTGAGATTACCCCGACACACTTACAAACTCACAAACTTTACCTCTTTCTAATTTTAGTATAGATAAATATATATGATACCAAGCCAAGTAAAATAAACAATAAGTATGTATAGACTACAACTAAAACAACCGAAACAGGGATTTTTGCAAAGACAATATGTAATATTGCTTTGAATTGGTAGCCTAAGTAATACGTTGTCAGATTTCGTTGGATAAGGGTACATATAGATCTTTATCACTTGGACAGTTCAAAATCGACGATGTAACGAGATATCGTCATGTCACCGATATAGTAGGTATACTAGGGATGTCGCAAGAGCAAAATGGTGAAGAAAATAGTTTGGCAAGAATATCCCTACTAGTACTTTTATTTAGAAAATCAATTATAGAAAATATGAAACGAATAGCGTAATTTATAGACATTTTTAATAAAAGTAAATAAAAAATTAAGTCTACCTAGAGAATGGTAACAGTTAATCACAGAGAACAGTAGATAATTCGCTGTATCTTCGAATGTATTATGTGCAGGTGAGTTCATGTAAAATTCGGCAACAAGACAAATGTTTTTGTTGTCCAGTAAAATTTCTTCCTAAAATCTTATTACAGGAAACAGCGATTAGTGAGAGTGGGTACGACTCGTACCTGTACAGGTTTGAAAAACTGATCAACTGTTACTCCTTACACTTTACGCCTATATACGGGATCCAATGTCCCTATTGTCATTCGCACATATACTACGAACAAAGCAGCCGCTTGATAACATTGTACCGATTTATGAGCTGGAAATGGGGTGCTTTAAAGTCATGGACGTGCAAGAAACTTTAAGCCTGATCTCGACATTTACTGTGCTAACAAGGTCAACTAAAAATCAGGCATTTTTTGTAATTTGCAAATCGTTAAAAGTAACTGTAATAATCTTTAGTGATTACATAAGCTTCTCTGACAGACCTCTGCGGTATAATTGAGAATAAGAATTTAGAAACAAAGTAACATAGAATACATGATGCAATGCTATATATCGGAACATCGATACAGCACGATACAATTTTTCAAGATTAGTTACGGTATTTTGGCCATACATTGTACATTTGATTACATCGTCATCCTATAAAAATATGAAATATGTTAATTCGATGTTAAACTTTTATGTGTTAATTATTTTAATACTCAAATTATAACAAAAGTGATGGACTGACATTTAACATAATTGTTATATGTAATAGAATATATTATACACAATTTTGCTTATTAGACAGGGACTGCTATTTAGATACCGACATATGAAAGCCTCAGTGTTATTGCACATAACAACTCATCTATAAATTAAAACGCGATTTTTAATGCAACTAACGATTTAAAACTCCAATGTTTTAAAATTCTAAAATACCTACTCAAAAGCAGTATCACACTTGTTATAGTAATATTGTTAAGTAAACAAGGACACACAGAATATACTAATTATTTAAAAAACAGCTATTTATTAAATCACAGGCAATAATATAAAATTCACAACGGTGCTATTAAACTATTGGCATATAAGTAGACGGTAAAAATGTCTAGTACTCTAGTTAGATTTATGGTAATCCTAAATTCACAGAAAAACATACAAAAAAAAAACGATTGACAAAATAGGTATATCATGAATATTATAGGTATATTAAACAATATTCATGATATTATATCTTTAACAACTACATTTTATCAAAATAAATTATTATAAAATTAAATAAACAGTGGTAACAAGTATATTTTGTAATAACTATCGATTAACTGCATAATACAAAGTACATAACATACTGCTTAGGAATTGAATATTATTTTATGTTACAATTGACCTATGTTTTTCATTTTCTACTAGATAACAGTCATAACGAGAAATTCTGCCTACCATAGATGGGATAAAATCACAGTGAACTGTGAATGAACGGTAATTTATCATTCGATTTTCGTTTAGGGTTACTACTTAATAACGCGTTGTTGTCAATAAGCTGTTTTCAGACTATGTATAAAGACTCTATTTCGCCTATTTAACAGTAAATCTAGTAATTATTTTATTATGTATACCATTCCCAACATAATAACAAAAAAAAATACTAGATTTACTTTTCCATAGCGTCTAACCTGCCTGCCTAGCAACCCTAACCTACGTACGCAAAAATCGAATGATAAATCACAGTTCTCTGTGATTTTGTCCTATGTCTACCGGCTATGATGATATACGATGATGATATGGCATACCTTCTGCTTTTTAGTACTTATTACAACGACACTACAGACAATAATCTGTTGATGAAAAATTTAATCATGAATTCAAGAATAACATTACTTTTCCAAACTATTATAATTAACATACATTCTATATCGATATTTTCTTTTTTTGTAATGAAGTCATTTGAACCTAAGAGCGGTATCGCACTACGTCCAATCAAAATACGTGAGAAATATTTATGGCAACTTACGCACTAAATCCGACTTCCGGCAAGATTATTGACGGACCAAAGTATCCATACTTTTATTTGTATGAAGGTAGCCAGCCATTCTTTACTTCTTCTATGTCGTTCGCATTGCCATGACGGCGACCGAGATGACTCATAATCTACGACGTGAACGTTCCGCGTAAAATGACATATGATAAAAGGTGACACCTGAATTGCTTGGATTAAAATCTAAGATCGCAATAGTGCTAAAAGCAATATCTAAATTCAGCCCGAGATTTCTAGATCCGTATTTTCACGGGTTCGGATCGGATTCGGATCGGAAGAAGTGCGAAGCCGCTCTAAGTCTATTTAGGTAAAACTTAAATTGGGATACATTTATTATTGCACAAAACATGTGGATATGACCCAATCTACTCTCCCGCTTGGTCCAAAACCTTGACAAAATGGCCACTTCGAAGTCTTCTTCACAAACGAGCGATCCACTAGTTATCATTATATTAATTTGTATTTATATTTATAAATACTATAATTTCTTATTTTGTTTAAATCATCCGAAACCAATAACAGGTATAGTTTCTAAAATAACTACTACTCAAATACTATCTATTCGTCTGATTAAAATGTTGTAAGTAAAAAATCCTGTATCTCCGTAGTTGTTCAAATAATTCACATAATTCAATTTTAAAAGCGTACGTCCTGTAAAAATATTAGACGAAGATAAGGTTCTATGGATTTCGAAGCTGCATTTTATCAAATGATCCGGATTTTATAATAAATATCTTCACTATTAACTTTTTAACTTTTGCTTGCCATGATATATAATTTTATATATTATGTACAAAAATTAACGCAACCTCGTAATTGGCATTACATGCCATTAATTTGCTTATCTTGGGGTGGTTGCTTATACATAATATAATCTTTAAACTTCAGATACTTATGATTTCTATATAACATTTAAGTCAAACTACGACGTGACACATTGATGTGCTACAAGGAGTTTAGCGCCGCGAAGGGACGCATTGTAAAGTTATGTCAGCGGCCTAGGACTGCAGCTCTCGATGTGTAGTGGTGAATTATGGATTGTATTGATTTTTAAAAGGTACCGTCTCAGTGTGAGCTAACCCTCACAAATAAAAAATTATAATGAATGACACGAAGATTCCTCTAGACAACTAACATAGTCAACATACAATTTGATATACATTCTGATTTTGACTTTGTGACATTAATCTTTTATCTATGATTAATCTGAACCGTTATATATCTCTTGAATTAATAATAAATGAAAATAGTTCAAACTGATTTGCATTGTCAAGTTAACAAAGTTATCAGATTCTCAAGATAGTCATAATAATGTACCAACGTACATATAAAACACCTTGAATAAGGACCTCCTTTTATTTCAGGCGGTTATGAGTTATCCAATGTATTTTGGGTCATTTAAAGATGTTTATACATTTGTACATACAATTCCTTTTGTTTTATGTATTTCAATTTAAAAATCATATTTCCTTTAGAGCCATTAGTGGTTCTAATGTATATAAAACAAATAATTGTTTTTATATTGTGCAAAGTTTTTGCTAAGTCAACCCTGATTTATGATTCGTTACGATTTTGGGGTCAATATTATCTAAAATTACTAATTCCTCTACAAGGAACCGTTCGTTGGTGATACTATAGAGAGTAAATCTCCTAGTTTTGGTAAGACAACGTCGGGTAGTGGTGGCGTCCTTTCACTGCGCAACTTCTCCAGATCTTTATTAGAAGTAACACCGGAAAGGACAAGAAGTGTTTGGAAACCACAGCGCACACCGAGCTCAATGTCTGTGTTACATCTGAAAGTAACAGAAACAACGATCATATTAAATATTTAGTAAAATTTAGTCCTCAAATTAAATCTCTTAATATTTTTTTTTAATAATTGATTAGGTACTCACCTATCTCCAATCATTAAAGTCCGAGCCGGATTCAGGTTACAAGATTCAAGATACTTTCTCACGTAGTCATGTGGCTTTCCCACCACAAATGCCTTTCTGTCTGAACAAGTTTCAACAGCTCGTACCAATGTTCCAGTACCAGGTACAACAATAGAACCACCCCTCGGAAATCTTTCATCAGTATTTGTTGCTACGAACAGACATTCTTCAGACGCTAAGTAGGAGGCAGCTTTCATGAACTTGGGATAACTGACATGTTCGTCAAAACCTACAACTACAGCACCAACTTCAGGGTCTAGATCTGATGGGTTCATTGCTTTGTAGTCCGGCTTTACGGGATCAGGCTGTGAACAATATTTTTAAATGAATCTATTGAATAAGAAATACTACCTGAGGTACTTGACCAACTCAGTTACCTTACATCAAAAACCATGGCACATTGGGTACGTAGGATAAGTAATTTGACTGTTTAAGAAGCAATCAAAACAGTGAATTATAATGTTTAAAATTACCTATGTATATTGGAAGGCAGGTAACTTATTGATTACCTAGATTGGATATTGTAGGTACTTTGACACACCTTTTTTTCGGAAAGACGTTTGTAGATAATATTAAGACAGTATTATATTCTTGAAGCAGTAGTAGGCCAAGGAAATTCGTATTTCTACATACAAAGAAAGAGATTATTTCGGATTTCGTTTTACACATCTCTTTGCGATTAATTGATTCAACTCCACCATAGTAGAATCGTACTTTTGGCGAAATGAAGAGATAGCAACACTGTTATTATATTTATAATATTGGTACTACGAACTCATATCTTATACGTTTGCGGCTTTCCTATTTCTTTAAAAAGCTATTTCTTGTACTTTTAATACTTTCAGGCTAATAACTTAAGCAAGAAATAATAAAAAGCGAAGAATTAATTAGCCGATATTACTCTGTAAGGTGTATCGTCCTTTGTTATTCTCTTTTTGCCGCATCTTTATATATATATATATATATATATATATATATATTCTCGCCTACGTACATCACCTTGCACACCATAGCGGCAAGTATTTTATTAAAACAAAATCTTTATAACAATATTTATTAAAATAAAATCTTTATAACAATGTAAATATTTATTAAAATCACAATTAAAGTCATAAAAACACAAGTTTTTGTAAGCGTCATTCAAGGTATTGTGTATGTCAAACTTGTAAAAAAGAAAAAAATATTAATTTCTTTTTAACAAGCTATTTTTTGTTGAATTCACAAATTTTAAATTTATTTTATTTTATGCATTAACACACCGATGTTCGGTATGTTATTGCATAATTATATTTACTTTCATTTTACGACTTTACGTTGTCTACTGACTTAGTCGTACAACCAAAAAAAATGTCATGGAAGGACTAGAATATTATAAACAACAAAAATACATCCAATAAATTAAAATGAGTTCTTTCTCCAATATTACTGGAAATTTTTCTCAAATTTTTCTTTGGATACAATTGGACAGAAAACAATTCATAAAAACCGGTGGCTAAGGTGCATTTTAAATTATTTCGAACACAAACATTAATGCGTTTGTGAATATTAACAGACTACATAGATTAATTATATATTTATGAAACCCCCCGTTTAACATTTAAGCGAATACCAAAAAATACATTAAATAAAAAAGACAGAATAAAACCAAAACGCTATTGAAATTGTTACATGTAAATTTAAAGCCAGTAAAATAATAGTTAGGTACAGTCCATTCGTATTAGGAACACTTAAACAATATTTTACCTGGCAGTATCCACAAACAACATCGCAAGTTTCATTTATCACACCGCTAGAATTTTCAGCGACAGGCCGGCCGAACCATACCACGGCCTCACAGAAAACTCTCGTCTGCTCGTCTGCCCCCCATTGTATAAAAAGTAAATAAATTGAATTTGTACAATATATTATTCCAGATGGACGTAGGCGTAGTTAAAAGCGTTCGGCGTACGCGTATCATTTTATGTTTATGTACCTACCCTACCCTAATTTGTATTTGACATCGTTTTATATTGTCATATGAAATTATCACAATCTTCCAAAAATAATAATAAAAAAAAAAAAAGATGTTCGTCTGTGATGATCAAATCGTTTTAGTTCTAACAATAGAGAGAAGATCGCCTAGTTTAGGTAAGACAACATCGGGTAGCGGTGGCGTGTTCTCACGGCGAAGCTTTTCTAGTTCTTTGCTAGACGTAACTCCAGATAGGACGAGGAGTGTCTGGAAACCACAGCGAACACCAAACTCAATGTCAGTGCTACATCTGAAAATAAGAAGTAGTAAAATTAATGTGTAACTAAGTTTAGGTGGGTTTATGTAGCTTTTGGATTTGCCAAAATTTACTAAAATTTGAGAGACGAGAGGTATTTACAAATTTAACTAGGTCGTGAATACTAGCTTCTGCATAGCTTAGGCATAGCCCTAAATCCTGAAGACAGCCCATAGATTTAGACTACGGAATTTACTTAATAATTCCTATTTAGGTATTGCAAGCTTTCTATAAAATCTAGAACAAAAGCAAAGACAAGAACCGCCTCATTGCAAGCATTTACCCAATGACATAAAACTCGTACCTATCACTTGTATTTTGTAATATTTAACTACACCTCGTCAAGCTCTCACCGACGTAATCCTGGAGTCAGTAAATGATGTTGATTGATTGATATATATTACTCAAAACATATTATAGGCTTAGCAGACTTTTTTGACGGACCCTAATAAGTAAAAGAATATATTAGAGTACATACTTATCTCCAATCATCAAAGTTCGAGCAGGATTCAAGCCATAAGTTTCTAGATACTTTTTTACGTAATCATTTGGCTTTCCAAGCACTAATGCCTGTCTACCGGAACATGTTTCTACTGCTTTAACAAAAGTTCCGCAACCCGGTTCGATAACAGAACCAGGCCTTGGAAATCTCTCATCAGTGTTTGTTGCTATAAACAGACAATCTTTGGATGCTAAGTACGAAGCAGCTTTCATAAACTTGGGGTAACTGACATGCTCGTCAAAGCCCACAATTACAGCACCAACTTCGGGATCTAAATCGGATTCCTTCATTGCTCTATAGTCCGGTTTTACCGGGTCAGGCTGCAAAACAAATGGTTTGAATATTGAATAATGCCAATTGCATTTGAACTAACAAATAATACCACGACGAAAAACAAGGCAGACAGTCTGTACAGCATTTACAGGCAATTTACATGTAGATAGATAGTGATCAGTTAAACATCCTTCTTCTGGAGTATATTGGACAAACAAAGGGACAAACTCCACTTTTCCTTTTCTTCGGGCGAATCATTGCGATGGGTGCCTGTAGTACTTTTTCTACTATCACTACAATTAACACTGCATAGTGGACAGAACAGGAATGCAGTGTGGCTTATTATTTAAATGAAGAAAACATAATTACTGAGTACTAAACAGTTGCAGAAGATAAGAATACGGTAAGAAACAGTTTTCATTACCAAAACATCGATATTTGATACTCAATACTAAAATGAAAAATTAAGTTTTAAATAATTAGCGTCTCTCAGCTCGTATTTCACAGATATAATTTAAACTTCGCGTAGTAGTATTTGCAGGCAGTATGCAACTGCAACTTTTTAACCAGTGCGCAATTTTTTATATTTGGACTAATTTTTGTAACAGTCCATTTGTGCTCTTTAGCACGTTAAATGGTTAGTAGAAATCAGAGAATTTCAATAGAAAATAACAACTCTAAAAGAAAAAAAACAAACGGATGTCATTTTATTAACTACTAATATATAATTATAATGTAAATAAAAAATACTTAATACAAATATTTCTTAATTAACTTACACAGTCTGTGCCAGAAATATTAATCACGCTGAATATTTTTTGTTAGTGCTGTAGTCCATAAGATCTAAATTCCATATTTTAGCTATTCCCATCACATATGTTACATTAAAATAATATTGTAACGATATACGTATACAGTAAAAAAAAACTTAAGCGCTATATATCAAAGATAATATTAAATACATAGTAAATCATAGGGACTTGGTCTGCCGAGAATGAATATAATCTAGTCTGGCACCTAAACAAGGCTCTAAATGAATAGCATGTTTGTTTTCATTATCGCGGGTCTAAAAACTGCAGTGGATTTCATTAATAACGACTTCGGTTGTAACGACTTTGCGGTTATCGTCAGACTTAACTCCCTTAAATTTAATGCATATTTTCACAATGCATAGCAATTGCCCGTTTTTTGCAAACTTGTGAATATGGCTCCTAGACGTACATTAACTGTTAAAGAAACTATTTAGACAACATCATGTGTTTGTGTGATCCACAAATTGTTGTTCTGAGTCTGGGTGTACTTTGTGTCCGTTTCATGTATGTTTGTAAAGTCCCCCGCGACACAGGTATTATTCCTAGTGCGGGAGTTGTCTTTTTAAAAAAAAAAAAAAAAAAAAATCATGATATAGTGGTCGGTAAAATTTGTGGAGAAGCCGAAAATATTTAGTACTGAGTATTCAAATAGTTACTTACCTCGATAACTTTATGATCATAGAGCATCTCTAGGAATCCTAAATTAGAGGAGGTCCTTTTTTCAATTGCCGCATTTTATCCTCTGCTATAACCTTCAACCTCTTAATAGGTGGTGAGTTCTTCGAATGTCTCTCCGACTAGCGAAGGTTGGCAGTCAGCTGTGCATACTCCTTCTTATCCCTCGCTAGGCGAAAGTGATCATCAGCACTCGCGATTCCTATCCATTCTCAGATGTTGCGTTACACGACATATTTATTCAAAATTCCTTAACACAACTCTCGCCACCCCAACGGGTAGCAATGAGCTCCTCATTTCAGTTATAACTAAATTTTATACGTTGTCGACGTTATAAGAAAATGCGCACTGGTCAGAAAATCTGCTTACAGACAGAACTAAGTTACAAGTTAATATACTTTTGTTATAAATCTCAAATAATGTATGGTGGAACATAAGGCATGTTAACCATCATTTTTTGTATGAATAATATAAGAATAATTTTTAAATTGGCTGTTGGTGCACTGATTGCATCACCAGTCACCTCTTCAACTCAAACCTTTGGTATTTTATTTCGAGCCCCATAATAGTAAACTATTGATTTTTTGAAGGTACAAACACATATTTATTCTGAATCTGAGTTTGATTTGTATGTGTGAAAAGTCAATACGCAATAGCATTCTGGAGTTGTCATTAAAACAACATTGCATCGGTACAAATCGCAACTCTTTTTAGTTCTAGTTAATAAATTTTGGTTTTTAAAACAGTAAAAGCCTTAAAAACTTTCTTAAAAAACAACAACTCTCTCATTATGTACTTTTCGATTCGTTTTAGGAATATTTTTCAAGATTATTTGTACAGAACCTCATAACAAAACCAACACCACAACGTTATTCATAAGTATTCTATCTTCATATAAACGGTAGGAATACTCAGAATGCGAGTCATGCCTACGCGCCTCGAGTTCCGTGCAAACTTGATATACAACTAGTTGCCAACGTCGTGAATGTGCCGCAGTGACGAACGGACGGTGCGATGGTTTTGTAAGCAGTAAGCGTGCGATTTGAGAATATTTTATAATAAGCTGCGATTAAAAAATATATTATAATTACTCGTCAGCTGTTTTTTTTCATTTTGTTTGAGTAGGTAGGTATTGAAGTGATGATTTTTATTGAACATTTACTATTTTATTTAGAATGAATTTCATTTTTTTAAATAAAAATATAATATTTACCTACAATTACTAAACTAGAAAGAAACTCAAGTAGGTAGATGAAATTAAAATACTGTAGGCGGGCAGCCCTATCGCGTGTTTACGTACCGCCTGGTTGTAGGTAATTATTTCAAGGACAGGGCCGAGTCACAATACTGTTACCGTGCCAATACTGACTAAAAAATTTCTATGAAATTCAGTAATCTTTATGAATAATACAAATAAGACCTATTGTTAACCACTCCACATTAGGCCTTAATACAAACTTGGTAGAATACTCAAGTAACAAGTAATAAGTTATTTTCATGCCCTTCTTTATAACTAATAACAATTCATCATCATCATCATCATCATCAACAGCCTTTAACAGGCCACTGCTGGACATAGTCCTCTCTTTAGAAAAGAGGTTTTGGCCTTCTATACCACACTGGCCAGACAGGTTGCTAGTAGTAGTGTTTCAAGTTTTCCTTTTCTTTACAGTGCTGTTGTCCTGCGTAGTTTGCTCTTACACTTAATAAAAATTACTTTATTAAAATACTGATTTAAACTTACCCCTACACCAATGTGTCTAATGCCAACAGCTTTTAATTCCTCACCAATTCCGTTAGAACCCAGCAAATACACTTTTTTTGTAAAGCCAATACCCTTCAGGTAATGTGCTGCTAAGTATGCAGTAGAAAGAATTTCATCCTGTAATAATAAAAATCAACATAAGGGAAGATTAAAACATATAATCAAGCACAATAATAATATTCTGGATGTGATCTAAATATGGATCTAACCAATGGATGACATTACAGAACTAGGCTGACTAGAAACATCTAAAATTATGATATAATTTCCTGTTTAACTTTTGCTGTAACCAGTTACATTTAATAATAATATTCTAGGATATTTCTTACTGACTTTTGCCCGCGGCTCTGCTTGCATGTATAATTAACATTGCATAACATTATTAAGCATGATTGTTAAGATTTTTTCTAGTATACCTCATCTTTTGTCTTCCAAAAGTTAATTGAGTGTGTTAACAAATAAATGCTTCAAACTATTACTTACTTTTAATAATTATCATTTTAGCTAACATTTAATTTTAGTAGTTTTTATACCTCTGTTCATACTTTCATATTCACAATTTTCTATTACAGTATAAATATATTGATAACAAGTATTTATTAAATTGTACCTGTGATGCTATAAAGCCCATTTGTTGAGCTTTACTAGCAAATTCACTACGAATCTTTGTTGAATTATTTGTTACATAAAATATTTTCTTTCCTAACTCTCGGAAATAATTCATTGCATCAGCTGAACCAGGAAGGACATTATTGTCTATCCATAGAACACCTGAAAGGATAATGAATCAAATATTATTCAAGAACTTTATAAACTGTATCTTAACACTTTTTAAACAAATACAGCACATTGAAGTACATCATATTTGGAATATTAAGTTGTAAAGAAAATACAGGAGAAATTGAGGTTGTTTAACATATGAAATATAAGCATACAATCTCTTAACTATTTAACATATCCATTAAAATATATTGTGAAGAAATGAATAAACTAAAGTTGATTTGTATTGATGTTTATAATCCCAAAAATGATGAATTATTTTTTTTGTAATATTTCTTTTGCAATTTGAATACAGACTATTTTGGACAATTCCTTAGCAATATTTATTTAAACAGTTTAATAATTTTTGCACAACACAGTTAACCTGATATAAATAGTGAATACATTAAACGCACCGTCACAATCAGTTAAAACTGTATCAAAAGAGTTTAAAAATTCTTGAACTTGATCTTTACTAGCTTCGTGAAGGTTGAACACTGCCTGGTTAAACATTATGCTAGAAGTATAAGACAGAACTTTATCCGGCACTTTATCACAGAAGGAAGATTTCACTAATAAATTAAAACCGTGAGATTTCAGAAAGCGAGAAGTTATTTTAAACATGCCCGTTTCTGAAAGACTAGAGGGCTAGGCTAGGTCAAATGTGTCAATGAATGAAATGAATGGAATGAATTACTGACTCAGAATTGACAATTAGCATTGACAATGACATAAAATTAAAAACACAGATTAAAAAGGACACATAAAATTGTATAATAAAGAAACTATACTTACTAGAGGAAAGAAAACTTACTTGTTTTACCATGGACTCAGTACCGTCTTTACCATAAGGGCACACGAGGCCCACATCGTCACCGGGGCCCCGAAAAGCAAATACTTGGAGCGATATATTTGCTTACACTTCACATTTTTTATGTTTTATTGATTTTATATTATTTTTTATATTTTTGGAACGAAGTTCCTTTACGCGCGTTGTGAAAGGGGGCTAAACGGAAAAAATCTCACGAAAAGTTATAACGACACTTTTTATGTCAGGCAATGCCATCTATCGAATAGATAGGAAATCATTACTTTTCATCTCAGTATTTATTTTGAATTGTCACTTGCCAGTCATTCAGCGCCATCTATCGAATAGATAGGAAATCATTTCTCAAGGAGATTTTACCAATGTATTAATTGTTTTAATTAGAAACCAACTGAAAAATATGTAGGTAATAGCCGCTTTCATAGATGGAGTTGTAATTAAAATCGTGTCGAATCAGTTTTACTCGATCGTCACAACTTCGTTCCTATTGGCTGTCCCACGACACCACGCGGCTTTTTTATATTTATTTTATTTTTATTGATTTTATATTTACTTTATTGAATTTATATTTTATTGATTTGATTACCCCCTAATATATTCCGCATTATTGAATATTTGTTCCGATTCGAGTTCACCAAATTCGGCGGTATGTAAGGTTTGCGGGGGACGTGTCAAGTGCGCTGTGATTGGATATTTGATAGGAATGGAATGAATTGGACATAGAATGCAGCGAACCATAGTGATGGGGGACAGGGTTGGGACGATGATCGATAAAATGGTTTGATGATCTGATTTATTGTTATTCATTTTATTTTTGATTTATTCATAAATTTACATCAATGTTCGTTTCATATTTATTAAAAAATAAAACAATGCATATATATATTTCTGTGCCTCCTGTGAAAAATTTTACAAGTAAGAAAATCAACACTTAATAACTAAAAACAAGATGTGGGCTAGGTTAAATTTGAGTACCTTTTTTTATAGATAAAAACATTCACTTTTACTGTACATTGAAATGTTTGTGGTAAATATTATAGTTTTGGAATAATTCTTGGATATTCTCACTGGATCTGTGAGTTGCACCTTTTTCATTTCATAATAAATCATACAAGTTCAGTTAAATAATGTTGCACCTATAAGGCCTACTTCTAAATCGAAATACATTAATTACAAATATCTAATAACTTTCTTTCTTTTTTCTTTTTTAAAAAGACAACTCCCGCATTAGGAATATATTCTGTGTCGCGGGGGACTTTCCAAACATACATGAAACGGACACAAAGAACACCCAGACTTAAAACAACAATTTGTGAATCACACAAAGTGTTGTCCCATGTGGGGTTCAGACCCACAACACTCAGCGTAGTAGTAACCGGCGGTGACCACTTAAACCACTACGCCATACGCGCAGTTACTCATTGGAATATGTTTGATAGATCTGTTGCTCTAAGAAATTATGAAAATACTACCCTAAAGATGAAGTTTTATTTAGTTATCAATCCCCTGTTTTCATAATTTGGGGTGGTGACACTCCGTATTCTTAATTCGTCACCATACGGACAAGCTAAAAGCTATACTTTACTTTGCTAAAATCTTGGTCTTTATATTCGGATTTTTATTTAGAAATTTAGATTCGGATCTGTTCAAAGTGACATGACTGACTCTAATTATATCAAAATTTACTGAAAAATCAAATGTGCAAAATTAATATAATCGCACATGGTATAAACCATGAAGCACAGAAATTTATTTATTTAAGGCTGTGTGCCTTCACCTACACTGTTCCTTCTGCATATCAATGACATGTTGCAAACAAGTAGCATCCATTGCTATGCAGATGATAGCACGGGAGATGCCCTTTATACCCGCCGCCCCCATAATACTCGGGAAAACGTCATCGAGAGTCGAAACAAACTTGTGTCTGAAATTGAAACTTCCTTAGCGGAGGTTTCAGATTGGGACGGACTACATCTAGTGACCTGTGTCAGTTTTACCCAAAACAGACACAGATCAGTGCGTTCACTGCAAAGAAGATACCATTTTTCGTATCACCTCGGTTTGAGAGCACCTCCCTAACTACCTCAGCCAGCATCGAAATCCTAGGCATCGACATATCAAGCGAAGTCCAGTTTCGAGGTCACTTAGAGGGTAAGGTCAAATTGGCCTAGAAGAAGCTCGGTGTGCTGAACAGATCGACGCAGTATTTCACTCCGGCCCACCTCCAGCTCTATAAGGCGCAAGTCCGGCCGCATATGGAATACTGTTCTCATCTCTATGCAGGGGCACCTCAGTACCAGCTTCTCCCTCTGGACCGCATCCAACAAAATTTTATCCTCATCACCTGGATAGTCGGCGCTCCACTACTGTGCGCTTTTCGAGACACATTTTACCCCGCACAACCAATCTGTGGAACGGGTTATCGTCTGCGGTATTTCCGGACCGATACGACACTTCACACTACTACATACTACACTACAAACCTTCAAGAAAAGAGCGTACTCCTTCCTAAAAAGCAGACATTTGCAGACATTCATGGGCGTTTGCTCGTCTGCCCCCTCTAACAAAAAAAAAATCAAATTGTAATAACTTGAAATACATCTACATTTACGATAGTTTTGCAAAAAGCCTGCCTCGTATATCACTTTACACAAAATTATCTACGAAACTAGAATAGATAAAAAAACTTTTTTTTTTCTGAATATTTCTGTGGAAAAATCACAGGAGCCACAAATTGGTACATTTAATTTTGGTTATAATTATTTATTTTACTGATTTTTAAAATAGATGAGCTTAGTATAAATACGTCTCAGAGAATCCTCAGGATTTAACTTTCTTGTCTTCCAAAAGCCTTCTACGGTTTTTCATAATATGAAGATTGTCTTCTGTAAATTGTCTTGAGTATATTACTCAATTTTTGATAGAAAATCATTCTTCCCCCCTACAAGTTGCTTCGATCCATATCTTTTTCTTTCGGGCATTTAGAAAATCAATAACATGTACTAATATACATAATGACTTCAATGAAAAAAATAAAGGATAATGACCAAACAAATATCAAACTATAAATCACAACGCTATCGATACACGTGCTGTCATTAGACAAAGACAACTATTGTAATTTACGTAATGATTGAAAGAGACCTTTCAAAAAGACATTAATGGGTGATTAATTGTTATTACTTTGCACCATTATGTATTGCACCAGTATAAGTTGAACTCCGATGCATTTGAAAGAGGTTAACGTGCTATGAATATAAATTACTTACCGATAAAATGTCATGCAATTTTTTGATAATTGGATGTCTTAGCTAGCTTGGATCATTTTCTAATATATTTTATATAAAAACTATTTTAAATTGTCAAGAACCCAGACGTGCTTACGGCTCACAGACTTGGTCCTTACTAATGTCGTGATTCTTAGCGTCATGTCACGTGCTAGGTACAGCAAGTATGTGTTGTGCGCCTTTGTGGCCCTGTATGCGGAATTTATTAATTAGTAATCTGTGATATAATCCGACAACAAGACTACATGTAAGTGGGGGCTTACTTAGTGACTTTGTGGAAACCCTGTGTGACAAGCCAATAACATTGGGGAATGTGACAGAAAATGTGGCATTGCAAATCTTTCAAGGGAAATATTTAGTTCCCCGTTTTGCCACCATCTTTTTTTTTTTCCGTGCGGAAATCACTTCGGATACCACCTATCGGTGGCATGTCGGACTCGAACCGATTAAAACCGCATGCCGTCTCGGGCACTAATAGCCGGGGAACCAGGTATACCCTAGAAAGGAAGTCAGTTATGTTACGAGCAGGGCATATAATAAATAAAAGTACACTTACTGTAATAAACTAAAAATCACTATATATCTTGTTAGTCGCACTAGAAATTGAGTCCGATGTTAATTCGCTACATCAGAATCATCCGATCGGAACTACTTTTATTAACCACAATCTTGTACTTTAGTCGATACAAGATGGCGCTGTCCTCCACATTTCATACAATCGAACCATTTGATCCAATGGCGCAACACTGCCCCCTCCTAAAACATGCTCGTCCCGAGCATTATCGGTCCCATAGTATCGCGCCAATCGATCCACATGAACTATCTTTGGGGCGCCTCTTGGACACTTCTGTATCATTGGTGGTTTGGTGACATCATTGATTTTCGTCATCATTCGGTATGGTCCATCCCATTTGGCTTGTATTGTTGTGTAGCCACACAAGCGAACTTTCTTCGTAACCTGTATTGTTCACTTTCCGGTCAAAACAGGTTTTCATCTTCTCAGATATCTGGTGGCCTGATTGTCTGACATGCTCATAGATTTCATTCATCTTGTTGCACAAGTCATTCGCGTACTCCGTTATACTGCGCGAGGCATCATGGGGTATTCCAGTGATCACATCTGCGGGCAACCTTAGTTCTGTTAGCATGTCCAGTTTGTCATCTATTCATGGTAATGGGTAGCTGTCCTTCTTCGTAATGTCGTTCAATCAAATCGATTTGTCAAATTATCTCAATAGATAATGAAATTATAGTCCATCTAATCCACGTATGTTAGATTGTAGTGAGCCAAAGCTGGTACATATGTCGCTAAAAGGCTCTAAAAGCTGGTATTTGAAAAAAAAGTATGTGCCCTCACAATAACGTTATATTAATAAAAATAAATCGTTTATTTTGTATGTTCTTTGAAATGAAATTTTGAATTGTTGAAGAATTCTAGATTATTTAAAAAAAATGTAATTTGACTTATAAAAAATACAATAATAGTTATTATTAATGTTATAAGTAGTAATAATAATTCTCATTATTCGTTGACGTTTTTATTATTAGATCTAATAAATGAAAATTTAAGTCTATACATAATTTGAAAAAAATAAAATAAAAATCAGCCGTGAGTTACATTCACCGAAATTTTATATTACTTTCTGACAAAATCGTACTCGTCAAAGATGGATAATTCGCTCGATTGATAAAGTCAATATGAAGTAAGTTACTCAATGGGTCTAAAATAAATATTATTATGCACAGTACATTTTTACAATAATCAATGTTATAACTATAACGTACAGCAAAAACTTAAATATTGTTAGATGCAAGAAAAAAAAAACTATGATCACTGAAAGTTGGTATTATTGCGTACCAACCCAATATTTAGTTGGAACATGGTACAAGACCCTTAAAAATGGTACGTATACTAAGAAATTGGCATGTCTAACATCTCTGATTTAATCTAAGAGGTATCGTTGGACAGTTCTGACAGGTTGAAGAAAAGGGAGGGAGTCAAAGAAAATGATCACTACAATATCCGATTCTTATGAGATTTCGATATCATTTCTTTGTATTTACAAATTGATTACAGTCTTATAGATATATGTGGATTACGGAAAAAGCTCCTTAATTATTATTTCTTAGGTTTTACTAGTACATGTATTAAAGTAATCTAGATAAATGAAGATCGGTAAAAACAATTGAACACACTCAAGTAATGACAAATAAACCACACAAGGTCTAGTTTCAGGTATAATTATATGAATGTCAACAGTGGGAATGATAACTAGTGAAATAGATCAAGAATACACCTTGCACCTGATGTAATGGTAGTTAATACATAAATAAACAAAAAACAGTTGCAAAGCAATTTTTGCCATTATAACATTTCTCTAAAAATGTATTTTTGGCATCTTATAATGACGCTGATCACGAATTTAAAAAGATTTTATTAGATTTAGATTAGACATTGTAAGGAATTTCACTAGGTTGAAAATTGACTGCTGCTGTTTATTTAATACTCATCACATATTATAAATGATAAAATGAAGTGCAAGCAATTTTCAACTTTATGATTATGTCCAATTTCTTTTGTAGAGAATAAGACACATTTTTAAAGAGTTGTCTATTTTTGCTTGCAACTATTTTTGTTTTCTGTATGTGGTAAGGAAAACTTCGTGGAGACAATTTCAACACGACAAGATTTCTACGGTAAAGCGAATTTGCCGTAAAGCGCATCTGTCGTAAAGCGAATCTATCTTAAAGCGAATCTGTCCTACAGCAATCTTATTATTTTAATGGAAATGAATAAACTCATTCTAAGTGTAGTGTTATTTGAAGTGTCTGGGTTGAAAATGGCAGGTTGTTAATAAGTTCGATTATCCGTACATTTTAACGATTATTCGTATACAAGTGAAGTTGAAGAGTTGCGACACTACGGTGAAGAACCTAACTACATGACTTTGACAAAGTACAAAAAACTATCTATTGAATATATTTGTTCTTTTGCTTTGTTTAAAAGATTTAAATCTAAATTTAGTCATTAAGAATTTTATGATAAAATAGAAAAAGCTTCACAATTTCATGGTTTTATGGAAAAGTTTATCATAATTGTGTTAGTTACGCCAATACAAAGTTGTTTCGTCTTGAAAAGTATGAAACGTCAAACGGTACTCCTTAGATTAAATGGACTATAGTTGGATATTAAAATTGGTAGAGGTGGGTATTTTAAACTTTTGACAGGTTTAGGTAGATTCATGTGACGCTGACTGTAATTTCATCACGCTTACTTATTGGGTCTCCATAAAATCTTAATATAGATTTTAAGTTAGTATTTTTGGCTGGTATGAAACACAACTCTTACATCTTAAAGAAAACAGACTAAATCAATAACCAGACTTTTTTTTAAAACGATTCATGATGTTTTGATTAAAAATTAATTGATCTAAAACGATTATTTTGAGAATCGATTTGTGGACACCTCAACCATAAAGTTCAAGTCCCAAGTCGAAAACTCCAAACTGTCAGGTAGTTTGTTGTAGAGATGTGATCAAAAGTTGTTAAAAAGTTATTGTTAATAAAAAATAACTTGTTAAGTTGAATGTTATAATTTTTTTAAATATTTGAGACACCTAACACACAACACGATCTAGTTTCAAACTAAGCAGAGCTTGTACTATGAAGGCTAGATTGACTGATAGAATACTTATTTACATATATTTTTTGTAAATACACACAAATTACACGTAAAAAACTCCCAAACTCCAAAATAAATATTTGCAGATCACACAAACATTTGGTCTGACCTGGGAATCAAACCCGAAATCTTAGCACAGCAATCGCATACGCTACCTACTGCACAAATATAAAGGATAAGTTTATGAGGTTCGATAACAAAGGTAAGGTTTACATTACGTTAATTTTATTCTTGGATTGTAAATATTGAATGCCTGTTTTAGTTAAAAGTTAAGTTTTTTAATGTTTCCTAATATTATTTTAAATTATTTAAAAGTGTAAAGGGCATCTCCCGTGCTATCATCTGCATAGCAATGGATGCTACTAGTTTTGCAACATGTCATTGATATACAGTAGAGACAGTGTGGGTGATAGCACACAGCCTTGCGGAACACCAGCTTTTACGAATTTCAAGTCATGACCTTTATGCTTCTGTTATTATTAAGTATTTCTTAATGTTATTTTTGTGTTGCTAAGCAATTTAAGTCTTATAATTTAAGTAGTCAAGTCGTAATAATGAACCCTATGGTTTGCTCTTATTGACAACATCAACCATCTGGCATTTTATATCTTGAACTCTCACCAAGTGGCACCGACGTTTTGTGATGCCTACTAACTGAGTTATAACTAGAGATGTAACGGTCTGAAATTTTGTCAAACCGAGTTGAATAGGTTAGACAATTCCGAAACTTTAATTACGATAAATGGCTTTCAGAATGACTTATTGATGTTAATAGTTAAAAAAAATGTGTTAAATTAAACGTTTATTTTTTTAATCCTTACCTCTAGTTTGTTGTTGTCAGTTTTTTTATTTATTTGATAATAGTAATCGACCTTTGACTTTAAGCTAACCGTGGAGTCCTTATCTAGTACAAGTTTTGCTTTCAATTTTAAAGATAAGTTGATTTGTTTTTTGTTATACAATAATCAAATATCATCAGTATCTATTATCTATTTACTGCAAGGTTATTTTTACACCTAAGTCAAATTCAAGAAAAGATAACCATTATTTTGTGAAACGACCAAACATCATTTTAGCAAAATGGACGTAAATGAAACAATTATTGAAACCTACCGAGAAGGAATCCAAATTGTAAAATATAATAAACCAAATAAGAAAAATGCCATAGATTCTAATATGTACAAACGTGTGATAAACATATTATCGAATGCAGCTTCTGACGATAGCATTTCTGTGATTGTATTGACAGGGGCAGGGGATTTTTACAGTAGTGGTAATGATTTCTCAGCACCTGTCGAAAGAAAAAGTATTTCACTCATTTTGAAAGAATATATAGATGCATTTATTAATTTCCCAAAGTTATTGGTAGCTGTTGTCAATGGACCTGCTATTGGTATAGCTGCTACGACATTGGCACTATGTGATTTAGTGTTTGCTTCAGAAAGTGTAAGTAAAGAATGTCTAAAACATATTAAAACATATTATATTTTAGCCAAGAATAGCCACATCAATCAAACAATGATTTTTGATTGACAAAAAACCATTTCTTGATTCATTTCAATATTTAATCTTTACCACTTCTGTATAATTTTTATTCTATACTAAATATAAAAATTGTCACACAGGAACACAATATTCAAACAGTACTAGAGATGTTAGTTCTTTTACCAGTATAACTTGAAATGATATTGTATTATAGACTTTTCTACCTTGACAGCTTAAAATATATCTGGAGCCGTATTTCTATGTAACCATTTTAATATAATTTTATATAATTGTTAACTTTACTGCACACAATTTATATTTTTTTTATGTTTCTTCACTTCTAAATACAAACTTTCAGTATTGCAAATATGATAAAAAGCAATGTGTGGCATGTTTATTCGTAAAAGGATCTAAAAAAAACTTCATATGTTAAAATATAGAATTAAATAGTGGCACCTTTTGTTGCAGTCATACTTCTACACACCATTTACAAAGTTAGGAATTGTAGCAGAAGGTTGTTCAACTTTTACATTTCCCCGATTAATTGGAGACAAAAAGGTAGTATATTACTAAAATAATAAATTGTATATGTATTGTAATATGATGAGATGCTGATGATCAATAAATAGTATTTATAAAATAAATAAAGCCTAAGTGGTCATTATTACTATGGAATAGATGTTTTGCCATAGCATGACATGAAATCCGAGCTAAGTATTATCTTAAACAGCACTTAGTCAGTAGACAAAGCCTACAATAGCCTTATTTCTTCTAAAATTAAATCACCTCAACTGCTTAGAGATTATAATTGCTTAATGCTCAGTAATAATAACAGAAAAAAGTAAACAAATTTTTGAATAAGAAATGCAATATGAAATTAATGTATTTTAATGATTAATTTCAGGCAGCAGAAATGTTATTGTGTAGTCATCGAATGTCTGCAGAAGAGGCACTGAAATGTGGGTTCATCAATTACATTTATAAACCTGATAATCTGCAAACAGAGGTTTGGAATAAAATAGAGGAGGTATCGAAATTGCCGAAACACTCTGTGGCAATAACTAAAAAGCTAATGAGAGATTCAGTCAGAGCAGAATTGTTAAAAGCAAATGATGAAGAACTCAAACAGCTTAATACTATTTGGAAAACTGGATCATTTGCAATTAAAAGTAAAGTATAGTATTGGTTGTTATGAAATAATTAAGTACAATGTACATATTGCTTCAAAATGTTACAAAAAAAATTGCATATTATAATATTCAAAATGTATTAATATATTACTTATTACTAATAATATTATAATAGATATCTCCTACTTCAAGTTTTCCAGTTTCAAGACACCTAAAAGAAACTATCTCAAGTTAAAAAAAAACTATGTCTATCTCTAATAACTTACTAGAGATAGACATACATTTTTTTGTGAAAACTAGATAGTGAGATAACTTGAAGCAGGAGATATCTATTCTAATATGAGAATATTTATAATCCTATCATTTTTTAATGGTTAAACCGAACTGCCAATATAAAGGTGGTGGGTAAAGATTGGCCTTTTTCGCCCATTGGTAAATTTATATTATGGTTTTTTTTAATACTGTACTCAATTGAAATAGTTCAAGTTTTTTCAAAAAGTATTTTTATGAAATAGACAAACAATTTTTTTACTGCAGAGGCTGTAGATGTGGGTGGTTGTGCACTATAGACAACATTTAAAGATGTAAAGAATTTTTAATCTCTAATTTACGACTTGCGTATCGTCTATATGCAGAACAGACTTTGGTATTGTTTTGTAGATCATTATTTTTATGCCTTCTAAGAACAGATAGTATTTTTCATTAGAAATAACACGATAATCACTGATTTCCAGGCATTATTTTTTAATAAAATACACAAAACGCATACAAAGCTATGTAAAATAATGGCGATAATACAAAAGAAATATTTGTATTACAATATGACGCGCGATTTGAAGACACGTTTGAACACGCGGGTGACGTATAGTCTGACTGATTCGCGGACAAGCTATTTTGTTTCGTAAAACATCAAGGCGCTCGATGCACCGAAACAAATGAATGCTAGTTAAAAGGCTATTTAAAGCATAATTTGAGAGCCTAAAAAATATAGTGGTACATAAAGCGCTTCACAGTTTTTTTTAATGAAAGTTAGAAAAAGTGCTTAAAATAACAAAATTTCAACGAATTTGCCAAGTTTAATGATTTTTTTACATGTCTTGCTATTTTTTTTCTTACTTTTTTGGAATTTATTTAGGTCAATACATAAGCGTGACACAAATATAATAACGTGGCTTCAATAAATACTTTGAATTTTCATGACTACGATAGGCGAAAAATGAGCCGATCTTTACCCATTTCCTTTCATAAGTGAACCTGTATACCTTTTTTTGTTTTGTACAAATATAATTTATGATCACAAATAAATACCACCAAAATCTGACCATGCATCTTGGCAGATCGACACCAACATTCTGTCTGCAATGATTAGGCTTATATTAGCAACCAGTAGTTGTCAACTGTCTTATAGTTTATTACCCAGATAAATTTTAGTTAATTTCTATGTTATTTGTTGCTCAGAAAATAATATTATTATGGGATAATCATCCTTTTTTCAAAGCAATAAAAGTTTTTGTTATAAAAATTAATGAATGTTTTTTTCTGCAAAAGATTTTCAACGACAAATGAGAGCCCAGAATGGTTCTTTTAATAATCTGTATAACTATGACTTAAAATTTGCTCTGTGTATGTTACCTAGATATTTTTATTATATTTGTCCTTGAATAAAACTATATGTACTTAACCCTTCGGCCAGATTGGAAACTAATAGTTGGAAACCAGTTTCCAAAACCGAATTATTTCTCTTTTATGGAAACTGGTTACCAACTGGTTGGATCTTCTTTCGAAACTCTTCCAACCTATAATCCTTGATTAGAAATCATTTCCTGGTGACTTACAAGTTTCTTATGTACAATGACAAGAAGTCATCCCACTATCAGTAATGATAGATATCAAGTGTTGATAATTACATCCTAAATGAATTGTTTATTTAAATATTTATTGCGAGCAGTGGTTACTTTCCTGAAATTGTATTAAAATTAGTACAGTAATAGAATTAATTTCTACAAAAAGAGGTCGTGTGATTGGAATTTCCTAGCCTTACCTAATCAACGAGTTTGTAGATATCATCAATCATCATCAACAGCCTATACTAGTCCACTGGCTGGACATAGGCCTCTCCTTAGAAAGGAGGTTTTGGCCTACTATACCACGCTGGCCAGACGGGTTGGTATAGGGTTTGTTTCAAGTTTTCCTTCTCTTTGCAGTGCTGTTGTCCTGCTTAGTTTGCTCCCTCCGTCCGTGTGGTGACGGATTAAGAATACATATCGTCACCACCCCAATTCATCCCGTGGGTGTCGTAAGAGCCGACTTGTAGATATATTGGAAGATTTTCAAAAGAAGATCCAACATTCTGTGTATTGGCAACCAGGTTTCGATAAAAGAGGAATAATTCTGTTTTGGAAACTGGTTTCCAACCATTAGTTTCCAATATGGCCGAAGGGGTACTTACAGGTTAAGACCATGTAATACAACAAATTGGATAGAAACAATTTCTCTGCATATAATTATGTATTATATGTTTATCTCTTTGAAAAGTTTACATCTGGAGTAGGCTATTGTATTTGTGACAAAGGTAAACTTAAAATTTACTTTTCGAATACGAATTGCACACAAAAGCCAGAGATGCATCCACCGTCCCACGTCCTCTGGAGTTTGAATAGTTTGCCTTAGCCTTAGTATGAATTTTTGCCTGCAAGGCGTCTAGGTGGCTAAAAGTTATATCAAATTGAAACCAACTGGATGTTAAAACAAATGAATGTCTCGCGGACTAATAGCTAGTTTATGTACGACGTATACCTATCAATTACATTAAATTGGGAGAGATTTTTAAAAATTGGGAGAGATTTTTAAATATGTCTTCTATAAGTTCAAGTACAACGTCAATATCAGATTTGTTCCGCCCAACAAAACCTAAAGGACTTAACACTAGAAACTTAAGTACCACACGACTTAATTTACTGAAAAAGGAGATACAAACAGACTTCCACCTTAAAACCTTACGTAAGTCTTCTTTATTATAAATTATTAGATAACTATCACATCTCATGAATTGATGTAGATACCTATTTGCTACCTACTGGTTTATCAGGATATTATCAATACTCAAGTCAGTAAATGTATAATTCTAGTGTTTGTGTGTTTTCCGTGGTATATATATTCCTATCAGTGCATACCCACCAGAGTCCCATTCTTCGCCAGGTACGGGCCGGCTCATCCTGATATCAGATTATACCCCGGCCTCACAAAATACCGGTGCTAAGCATTTTTTTTAGTTTCTTTTCAACGAGTGACGGTCCCGGGGAGGGCACTCACTAATGTGACCAGTATGCTCGTTAGTCTTAACATTAAAAAAATCCTAAATGTAACTTTTTGTCAATATCAGCATCATCTTTCTGATCTTTTATTTAGGATCGGCGCGTGGGATAGTTACGGCTTTGTTAGTTTTTAGTTGGGAATAGCAAAGTGTTGGAAACGCAAGTGTTTTCAGACGAGACAAAATAAGAGAGTACCTACATTGGGGTACGGAAAACATAGAGGGAGCTTGGGTAGGGATTGCCTACCCAAGTTCCCTCGCCCTATGTTCCAAGACCTTCCAAAACTCCCTCCGTCCCTAGTAGGGACTGTTTTGACTGTTTTTTTATTGATTCGGAGGGAGTCTTGGAATAGGAGTCCGTCCATCCGATTTCCAACGAAAAATGGAGCGCACTGTCTGTTTTTTATACTCAGGTAATCTTCAAAGAAGAAGCCAAAAGCCCGATTAGATGGTTAATATTTCTGGTTTTATAAACAGTTGCAACTCTTATGCTCCACGCCCAACTTTCCTTTCTACTTTGAAAACCCAATCCTTTCCCATTTCTGAAACTTGCTACAAAATTTAATGCTCTACATCTAAAAAAATACCATGACCTATGTCCTCAGTAGATACTCTAGAACTCAAAGAACATTATTGCTCTCATGGAGAAAGATAATTTGCCTGCATTATACCCATAATCCGTGTAGTGACGGATTAAGAATACGGAATGTCACTACCCAAATTCATCCCGTGGGTGTCGTAAGAGCCGACTAAGGGCGCAAAACAACGCAGGACACCAGCACTGTAAAAAGAAGGAAAACTTGACACAAACCCTGTACCAACCCATCTGGTCAGCGTGGTATAGTAGGCCAAAACCTCCTTTCTAAGGAGAGGCCTATGTCCAGCAGTGGACTATTAAAGGATGATGATGATGATGATGATGATACCCATAATTGGGTAGGTAGTTTACTTTTGCTCGTGTTTTTTTCTTCCTTTTTACGGAATACTAACAAAATTCTTGTTCCTTTTACTTGAAATTGATTTTATTGAATTTATAATTAAAAAAACAAGTTTAAAACTGAATGATTTTAAATCACTCATGCTATATAAAACTTACAATTTTATCTGCTTTATTGTAGAGTCAACGACAAAAGTAGATGATCAAAAACGGATTGGAGCAAAACTAGGTAGTGCTACAATGTTACAAAACTAAGTGATTATACAAAGTACGCTGATGGAATTGTCAGCAAAAGTTGATGATCAAAGTCGTTGCAAAATAAATGAACTGTCGCCAAAAGTTGATGATCAAAGACGTTTCAACAAAAATTAGCCGATTTAACTGCTAACTTTTAGTGACAGTTCAACCAGCTAATTATTTTGCAACAACTTTGATCTTCAACTTTTGGTGACAATTCAATCAGCTAATTTATGGGTACTTTATTTAATCACTTAGTTTTGTAACATTGTAGCACAACCTAGTTTTGCTCAAAATATCGTTCAGTAGTTTTGACAATCCGTTTTTAATCATCTACTTTTGTCGTTGACTGTACCCTGTAACTTACCCACTTTATACCTACTATTATCTACCTTATAAAGCTGTACTGACTAGCCTATTGTATTATAGAAGAATTGTACAGCATACTGCAAACAGATCCAATCAGAGGTTTATCAACTAATAGAGCTCAAGATCTGCTTGAACATTATGGCCCAAATGCCTTAACACCTTCTAGTAAAAATGAATTGCTAATTGTGTTATTTAATTCGCTATGTACAGGTGTGTATTGATGTTTGTTTTAGACTTTATGCTTTATTTTTACAAAAAGCCTATACTCTTTTTCTCTATTTCATTAAGTAAATTTGGTTAAGCGTTTTACACATGAAAACTGATAGACAGACTGCGTTACTTTTGCATCCATACTTATATTATAGAGTATTTGTTTGTTTGTTATGCTTTCTCACCTAAGCCACTAAACCTATTTTACAAATTATTTCAATAATGGAAAGCTACATTATCAGCGAGTAACATAGACTACTTTTTTACCACGATAACCGACACACGCGGGCATAGTCGCGGGCTAAAGCTAGTATAAAATACTAGCTGACCCGCGCAACTTCGTCTGCGTCTCTCAATAGTAATAAATTTTCTCCGTTTTTGAAACATTCTTAATTGGTGCTTCGCTCCTATTGGTCTTAGCGTGATGATATATAGCCTATAGCCTTCCTCGATAAATGGGCTATCTAACACTGAAAGAATTTTTCAAATCGGACCAGTAGTTCCTGAGATTAGCGCGTTCAAACAAACAAACAAACAAACAAACTCTTCAGCTTTATAATATTAGTATAGATTAGTAAAAATAGTTAATTTATCATAGTCTTTTGGAAACAAAGGTTTGTAACTATAAAGAAACAGCCATATATATGTATAGAGATGTATGATACAAATATTTACATTAAGTAATTCGCAAGTTTTAACGTTGCAGTTTTTTAACTGCTCGACTACAATGCCCCCTACTATGTCGTCAATATTACGACTTCTGTTCTAGGGTTTTCAGTATTAATGTGGTTTGGTGCAGTACTATGCATAATTGCTTACATGATTGAATCATCGACGAGGCCCAACCCTAATTTAGATAATCTTTATCTGGGATTCGTACTGATTGGAGTGGACATTATATGTGGCCTTTTTAGTTTTTACCAAAACTATAAAAGTACTAAAGTAAGTATTACTGAATCTTGATGTTGACATCTTGTACAGAAACAATGAGCGAGATGGTCTTCTCCAATATAGTGACACAATACGAGCAGGACTTGACTAAATTCCTTGATGCTGCTACAAATAATATGTGTGTATATATGTAGGTAGACTTGTGTATGTATTCGTTATCACAATTAATGTGGAGATTCTTGCTTTTCCTTAGGCGGCTAAATATCAGCAATGATTCCTTCTTGCAGAACTGTATTTACGAGTACCTATGTATAAACAAGTAGGTACGTTCCATTTCAAGATACTATAATATGTGATACTACTTAATGGTTTCAGGCTAACCTTGTAACTGCTGGTTGCTGACACTCACTGGGTGTGACCACAGCTTCTGTCGACCCTGTCTTTTTGAAGGAGAGTGAAGCCGGCCTACTCGGCTTCGCTTTATTTTAAGAAGGGTCTGACTTGGTGATTTGGTGACCGGCTATCCTTTGCGACGCCACCATTCTATTCAGCTGGCTTTCAAAAAAATTCTTATTGGCATCGTTGAAAAAACTATCATTTCTGTCACGCTATTAGTGTAGCCACCAATTAACTGCTATCTCTATCTGGAATCATTTACCTAGCTATCCACCGAGACATACATGTCAAGCTCATGAGTAAAAACGGTTTCAGATAATGACGTCATTTAATAATATGATACCATCATATGCGAGGTGTATTCGAGACGGCGTAATGGATTTTGAGACTCCAGTTCCAAATTTGGTCAGGGGTGACATTGTACGCGTAGTTGCTGGAGACATTGTACCAGCTGATATACGTGTAATCGAAAGCAAAGGTTTCAAAGTATGTATCTTATACTTTTGTAACGTTAGTATGTTCAGATAGAATGTACCTACATTTTGTAGTGTGAATGCTGATAGTTTTGATAAGTTAAAAAAATTTAATTGAATTTTAAATTAGTACTCACCGGATTAACTGGAGACGCCTGTCTGATCTATTTGGGTGGGATTGTTATTGTGGGCTGTACGTTTCAAGAACATATTCGAAACCTGAAACGCGTGTTATTGAAAATCCGAAGCGCCAACCTAAAGTTAAATCCTAGAAAGTGTTCATTTTTCAAACGGCAAGTAAGCTTTCTAGGATATTTGTTTTCTGAAGAGGGTTTCCAAACAGAACCGCAAAAGATCACCGCCGTTAAAGATTGGATAGTTCCAAGAGATAAGACCCAAGTAAGAGCATTTTTGGGTTTGTACTCCTACTATCGGCGATTTGTGAAAAACTTTGCGGATATTGCGAAACCCTTTCATAAACTTACCGATGAGAAAAAACATTTCGCCTGGAATGAAAGTTGTGACGTTGCATTTCAAGAACTTAAAAAGACGTCTATGCAACACGTACGGACGAACTATCAAATACTAGGGATCATTCTAGTAAATTCGATAGCACCATAAAAGTGGAGCATGTTGGCCGTACGAGACAGTGTCATATTACGACACAGCTAAGTAATTAACATCGAAGTGAATTTCGAGTGCGACTAACGAATAGGTCGTTATGTGACTTCTTGTTTGTTATAGTGAGTGTTTGTAAATACAGTGCAATAAAGGTAATTAACCGACAACATTTATTTATTATATACCCCGTTCATAACTAACTCGTCAAAATTGGCTGAGTTAAGTACATAGTCTGTTTATGTTTCATGTTTACAAAACTAAAACTCACATATTTTAATCCTTTAAAAATTATTGGCTTTCTTAATTGTGACATCTGTTCAGTAATTTAAATTATAAGTGTGTTAACATAATTATTTAACGGGTAGTTGTAGATCGACATAGGCATAATAGATTTTCGGTAGGTTAGATAGGTATACGTTTATTATATTTATTTTGCTAAATATTTGACAAAACAGAAGTTCTTTCTATTGTGTGTGTTGATCTATGTCTTTAGAGTGCCTCTGCCCTCCACACTAGAGTCTAGTAGACTCTAGTCTTAATATACATAACAGATGATTGCAAACAATTTGTTTTTTTTTTATGAAATATAGGCAGTTTAAGTTTAGATTTGATTTACTGTAGAATGCAATAACTCATGCATGAATTTTTGAATAGTTAATACGTTTGAGAGATTGTCACTATTCCTTTTGGAAAATAAATCGTAGAAAATATGAATATTCTTACATTTTGTACATACATTTACGCACATACAAAGGTAGCCTGGCTAAGTACATTTTAACCTATATCTATGAAAAATATGTCAAATTTCTTGGTGTCATGTTATTTTTTACAGGTTGATAACTCTTCCATAACCGGAGAAAGTATAGCTGTAAGTCGGTGTAATACAGAAGGAACTTGGAACATACTTGAATCACCAAACGTTGCCTTCTTTTCCACTCAGTGTGTAGAAGGATGGGCCATGGGTTAGTAGAATAATAACATACTAGAGATAACGTGGCAGTCCAATTTGGATCGAATATTTCATTATACTTTATTGATATCCCGAATTCATTAATGTACTGCGCTGACAAGTACTTGTGAAAAGACCTGTGCCAAATTTTTGAGTTTGAGAATTTAGTACACCTAGGTATTTTGATACTATTCTATTTTTTTTGTTTATTTTGTCTGGTAGAACATATGTTGACTCTTTTTTATATTTGATCAAATGATGGAAAATTGGATGACAGATATTTTTGTGAAATGCAATGTTCTGTTATTGCTCTTATATGTTTTATTAACTCAAGTATCTTACCCACATGATTTGTATTATATTCATTTAAATTGTAGAAGTTACAGGTGTGGTAATGTGTTGCGGAGACGTGACAGCATTGGGCCGCGTGGCCGGGTTAGCTGCGCGACTAGAGCCGGGGCCTTCGCCCCTGGCATGCGAGTTGCACAGATTCATGAGATACATGTCTTTCTGGGCCTTAGGACTTGGCATATTTATAGCTGTTGCATCTCTGGTACTCGGATACCCATTCATGCAAACCACCATTTTTGTAATCGGAATTATTGTGGCTAACATCCCTGAAGGTATTTTGTACAGTTTTTATCTTTATACGATTAATAGGCAGAGCCGGATTAGCCATGTCGAAGCCCGAGAGTGCGTAGAACTCCGCCGTCTCCTTCTGCGAGCAAGTTATACTTGCGAAGGAGATGGCGGAGCGGGACTGGGAGAGGTTCAGAACTCTCCCGGCCCGCCAGGCCAGGTACCGCAGACGACTCGCGCGCCGGAGGTCGCAGAACGACCTCCGTCCTCCATAAGCGCTGGCCTGGGGGTGACAGGTGAGGCCATTTATCATCCTCGGCCGGGGTGGCGGCCCTTTCGGGAGCATAAAGGGCACACAAGAGGGGTCATCTACACGCGGTGAATGGCCCGAGGTACGTCGAGGCACCAGTGATTTCCTTTCTAGGGTACACATGGTTTCCCGGCTACTGGTACCCGAGAAGGCGTGCGGTATTTGGTCGCTTCGAGTCCGAAATAATCACCCCACCGGTTTGTGATATCCCAGGGGATTTCCACACAGTAAATAAATAAAAAATGGGGAAATTAATGAATCAACTTACAACATTTTTAATGTTACGTTACTTCAATCTTTCAGGATTTCTGACCATGTTAAACATTACCTGACTGTCATATTTTAGGATTGCAACCGACCGTGACTGCAGCATTGACAATAACTGCCCAGCATTTGATGAAAAAGAATTGTCTTGTGAAGAATTTACAAGCTGTGGAAGCTTTGGGCGCATGCACTACCATTTGTTCGGATAAGACGGGCACCCTCACGGAAAATAAAATGAATGTGCAACACATATGGGTTTCTAATAAGACGATTTTAGTAAAGGAATTTGATTTCACAGGTAAGTAGATGTAACTATTTTTGCAGCTAAAGTAGTTTTAAAATTTTAAAGGCTTATGTTACATAAATTAACATCAATTTTTTTTGGGTTAAAAAAACATGTATTTTACTAGCTTTTCCTGTGACTTTGCCTACGTTAGTTTTGATTTTAGCCTATATGCTGTTCTACACGATGATCTGTCTTTGTGTCATAGTGAAATAGTTTTCCTGCCGTGGAATTCCAAGGTCATATTCAATGATTTCATTATTTTTTAATTGTAGTTTTAAATTAAAAAGAAAGAGTTAATGAATTTTCGGATTATAATATTTTTTCCCTTTTTACAGCGGCTTTGCAAAATAATCGAGGTAAGTTCAAGTTGAACGAAGTAGAACGTTACGTACAGAGGTCACGAGTATTGACAGTAAAACGTTCATTAGTTAGATTTATAATATTTGAGTCAAAAATGATATGGAATCTTTGTAATAAAACGATCTGTCAAAACATTATGTTTTAACGGTCCCATTAGTCTAGTGGTAAGTGATCCTGGCTGCTACGTCATACACCGCGGGTTCGATTCCCGCCACCAATCATTGTGTGATGAGCCTATGTCTGTGATTAATTTTCTATAATATGTATACCTATATCGGTTAAAACTGTAAGTAGTTTTTTTTTACTATAAAATTTAGAAGAATTAGAAGAATTTGCTAAAAACCGTTTTGTTGCTTATTGAAACTAAGACCTGCAAAGTAAAACATAAAAATCTTTTTTTTTTTATAAAGTACAGTTGTTAAAAAATTCGATGTCAAAGGAAAAAAATCATTCTTCTAAGTCCAGTAGTTTCCTTACATGAAAATTCTACTTGATTAGAAACACCTAAAAAAACCAACGCAAGTACAAGTGAATATAAGTGACAGTTATTGTTAATTGCAAATTATCTTTTATTACGATTATTTCAAATAAATTGACAATTACAAATTCAAACTCGTAACTACACTTGTATGTGTTAGTAATGGTATAATTAGTCTTCACAGTCATATCTATCATATTTACCTGTGAATTCTTAATTAGCAGTTAGCAAATTAATTGTAGTCGTGAAATTTCGTGAACGTATGAATTAATACTGTTGCGCCATAGTGTCAAGTGGGCCACACCGAACGCTACGCATAGTAGCTAGTATTGTTTTACGCCACAGCGAATTAACATCGAAGCGAATTTCTAGTGTGACTAACGAGTTCTATAGTGATTCTTTGTTTCTAATAGATAGATAGATAGATAGATAAATACTTTATTTGTACACCAGGGTTTTACTGACATTATAAAGTAATTAGCAACAGACGTAATTTACCAAGGGCGGCCTTATCGCTTAGTGCAATTTCTTCCAGGCAACCTTTGGATGGATTGGATTCATTTTGAACTGGTGATAGGTATACAGAAATTAGAGAAATAAATAAGGTCTTAACCTATGAAATATTTATTATATACACGGTGATTTTGAAAGCGTTTTGGAAAAGAAAATTTTGAGTTATTTACCAGTAACAGAAGCTACATATAACGTTAATTTAATAAAATATATATATTTTTTATCATCAAAGTCGATATTCATATCGATTACAGAGAAAAGGTGAGAACCAGTAGTAGGGCTTTTCAATCGCAAGTAGGTAAATACTACGAATAGAAATACTATACTCACGCGCAAGGTCAAGGACGTTTAAATTATTATTCGCCGGAGTGTAGTGCGTGCATACCTGGACAATGAGTTTAGTGATCGGTGGATAGGTCGAGGAGGGCCAGTGCCTTGGCCACCTAGAAGCCCGGACTTAACGCCCCTGGATTTTTTCTTATGGTCGGAAATAAAAATACTTGTTTATACACGGGAATATGAAAGCCGTGATAATTTACGCATTGCGATAGTGGACGCTTTTGATAAAGTGAAAAGTGATAGAGACACATTAAGAAAATTAAAAAACAATTGCATTAAACGTGGACGTTTGTGTATTGAATGCAGCGGACTCCATTTTGAGCAGTTCCTTCGATACAGAGAAGTGTAAATAGGTATGTAAATTAATTATTCTGTAGATAGCTCCGATTTTTTAAATACGCTTGAAATATTTATACCTACAGTCCGTTGATAAATTGATTTGTTGTGAAAAGAACAATCGTGGTTAATAATCGAAAAGAAGTTTAAATAAAATAGGTATACTTTCCTTCATACTTTACACGGTCCTAAGCCCGTGTAAAGTATGAAGGACAAATTGGAGTCTATCTACGTAAGTACTCGCTAGCTCGCGCCTATAGGTATACTTTTATCAGCTGCTGTTAGCGTCAGCGGTGCGCAGCGGCCGCCGAGACGCCCACGGACGTGTTCATTCATATAAGATAATGAATGAATGATCAGTCCATTACTACTTTCCAAGTCGATCGAGTAAAAATGAATATTAAAACTGAAACTTTTTTTTAGACAACATTACAATTGATTTAATCATTTTTATTGGTACTATAGATGATTCCAAATTAAAATGTTTCGTTTCCAAAACGCCTAAAAAATCACCGTGTATAAATCCTACTAATCTATATTTATACATAAATACTTTACATACATATGTTAATATATACATACGCTAATTTCAAACTATTAGAGACAGCTATAATGCTCATATAGCATAGTCTTGAAGGTGGTTACGGATTGCGCTCGTCTGATAGGAAATTGGTAGAATGCCTTGGTATTTCCAAGAAAGCCTGAAACTTTCAGAGGACCTCAGACATTTCATATGTGTGTCATGAAGGAACTTAAAACGTTCTTTGAGGTAAATGGGAGTTAATGGATTAAACAGAATATTATACAGAAGCGTAAGGATATGAGTATTCCGACGAAGGCGGATTGGAAGCCACCTGAGCAAAATACGGTAGTGGGAAACATGATCATATTTGCGAAGTCCAAATATGAATCATATGCAAAAATTTTGGAGACGCTCAATTTTATCAAGATGTGCCTCGGTGACATCGATAGCTAACATAGCATAGTCAAGAATCGGAAGAATGAGCGTGTGTAAGTGCAGTTTTAGTAGCAGTCGGAAGAAAGTTTCGTAACCTTCGCAAAGATCCCGCTGCAGCAAAGACTTTACGGCTCACCTCCTGAATCCGAGGTGCCCATGATAAGGTGCTATCGATTATAACTCCCAAGTTTTTAACTCGATCGGTATTATGGTATTGTTAAATTGAACCGGAGGCAAATGTGACCAATTAATTTTAGCAGACATTATGGGAATCCTAATGATGCATACCTGTGATTTTGTATGATTAATTTTGAGTCCATAGTTGTTATTTCAAGCACTTCTGTGCTCTAGATCTAAATTAATAATATTAAGCGCAATCGATAACACACTGATAGGTGTATGGGTGTATATCTGCAAATCATCAGCATACAGGTGGTAGGATGAAAGTAAATGATTGGAAATAGAATTAATAAAAGTGGTGAAGAGTAATGGAGATAGAACGCCACCCTATGGGACACCGACAGGTGCATTACACCATGAAGAGAGGGAGTCTTCAAGTCGAATGCGATGCTGACGCCCAAATAGGTAATTGTGAAACCAATCAATTGCCCTTGGAGATATGTTAAGAGAGCGAAGAAAACCAAGGAGAATATGGAAATCAACGGTATTAAATGCGTTACTGAAGTCGAGTAAGGATAGTACCGTTAGGTTTCTACTATCCATATTTCCTCCAATATCATCTGAGATGTGGACTAATGCTGACACTGTACTGTGTCTTGCACGGAAGCCAGACTGAAAGGGATTTAGGAGATTGTTATTTAACAGAAACTTGTTGAGTTGATTATAAATAAGACGTTCAAGAGTCTTAGAAAGGAATGGTAAGATAGATGTTTGGATTTTTTTGGCAAAGTAATAATTTCAGCTGCTTTCCATGCAGATGGAAAGACGCCGTAGGATAAAGAATGGTTGAAAATTTTACATAGGACAGGGAGAATATCATCAAGAATAGGGACAATCATTTTTTTACTGAGGCAATCGCTTTCCACCGCATTAGATAAGATTGAAAGTATGCTCTTCCTTACATCACAAGCTACCAATTGATTAAAAATGAAAGGAGAGTAGTTAGGATTTTGAATAGATAAAAGATATTTTAAAGTTTTAGCTTTTGTTGTCTCATCAAAATCAGACACGGAGGAAAAGTGAATCAAGATCTCTCTCTGAAGAAGTCTTTAGAAATAGGGTTTTGGTTCGATTTTCCAACTATGTTTAACTAACCTAATGTTTTCAGAAATTTCCAGATCCTCATCAGATCGTTGTTTTCAACAGATTTATGGATGTGTTGGCGTTGCACTTCTTTACACACCTTATTGCAGTGATTTCTTATAGTCACATATTTGTCGAAGTTAGTTTGAGCAGGTCGACGCTTGTATCTCGTCTTTGCCGCTACCTTTTTCGACATGATGGCTCGTAAACGCTTGGTTTAACACTGCGAAGAGGTGCATGAATATCAAATATGTTGATTAAGTTTTCATTTAAAATGTTCATTTTTGTGTCAATACGCTCCGAAGATAACAGAGGTTGCCAGTCGATACTTCTAACATCTGCACATAGCTTTTCCGGATCCATGCTGCCAACACCGCGCTGCATGACAATTTTAAGTTTGGATTTAGGAGGTTGAAGAGCGTAGGACAGATAAATTAGATCATGATGGGAACACTCATTCGCGGAGCACTGGCCATGATTGGACACATGCTCAGTATTGGATGCAATGATGAGATCTAAGTGAGAAGGAACACAAACAGTAAACAGAGCGAGCATCTCCTTTTAAGAGACACGTACTGAAATCTCCCATAATGATCGTATGATATGTATGGTATATGATATGTATGGTCTAAGATTTTCCAAAATTTGCTCGAAGGAATAAAAATAGTTGACGTGCAAAGAAGGAGAATAGTACACACCGAGCAGAAGTTTATGGTGATAAAGTTCCACCTGTAAGAAGAGATGCTCGCCCGCATCCGATGGTGGTGGCTGTGAGGACAAACTTACGATGGAGAAAGGAATGTAAGTGCGTAGATATATAGCCATACCACCCCTACCCCGAACAGAGCGATCATTCCTAATCAGGTGGAACCCGGGTAGAGAGTAGGAGCCAGACGGAAGACATGGCTTCAACCATGATTTTAAAACCAAAATTGCATGTATATTCTTGCGATTTGGGATGACCAGCATCTCATGAAAATGAGCAGGAATACTCTGGGCATTAATATGGACCACATTGAAATCCTTCGATACCTCTGAAAACCGAGACTGAAGTGTTTCTTCAAGTGTAGGAACACTAACAAAACTATCCTCTGAATCGTTCGCAGAAAAGAAGCTTTCATTATCACTATAGGCCGAATCTGTTATATTACTTATAAATATGGTATGCTTATAAAATAAATAGTATAAAAATATTAAAAATAATGTAAACAAAAAAAAAATGTTCAGTACAACGAAATTTGCCTAATAATATCAAAAGAAAAAGAATAAATTTTATCCACCTGCCAGTTGCGTGATGACATTTAAAATAACACTATAAACAAAACATAACATCGTACAGGAGTAGAAACAATATATTAACAATATAATAGTGAGATTTTGTAAATACAAATGCAATAAAAGTAATTAACTACTTTTATTTATTGTAACCCCGCTCGTAACAATACGTTATAACGCTTCACATCGCGTACAGCGCGTACTTTCTCGTTCGCATCAACGCGAAGACTAAATTTAATTTAATAAGTCGTCGCCCTAAAATTGATACAACTGCTAATGCTAAATTGCTAAATGAACGAAAAATGAACCGTCTGCTATCACGTTTAAGTACCTACTAGGCATGCCTTTTAAGTTCTGCCGTTTCCATATTTCTCGGCAATTTTGAATTTGGAACTGTTCTATATTCGAATGTGTTTAAATTTTGAATCTCAAAACAGTTGAAAGTATTAGGATTAATGCTATTGTTTAGTCACAGCGTCGATTGGAATCTGTCAGGTTACGTACGAAAATGAATATTTCTAAGAAAAATGTTCGTGCAATAATTTTCTACAACTTTAGAAGATGCCTAACACGGATGAAGCCCCATGTCTGCGGACTGTCGAACGCTGGTATTTAGAATTCCAGCGTGGACATATTAGTGTTCGTGACAAATCTCGCGAAGGACGCAAAAAAATCTGCCTTCACTGAAGATAACATCATTGCTGTGAGACAACTAATTCTCGAAGATCGTCATGTGACGTATCGAGAGATAGAGGCTCTATTAAGCATCTCAGGGACAACCATTCAGAAGATCTTGCATGAAGCGCTTGGTGTGAGAAAGCTAGTTTGCCGTTGGATATCGCATCTGCTTTCCGACGATCACAAGGCGACCCGCGTCAGATGGTGTAAGAAAACTCTGCAAAGGTTCAACAGAGGAGAGTCAATTCACGTCTACGACATCATCAGTGGTGACGAATCTTGCATCTATGCCTACGATCCTGATTCCAAACAACAATCTACAATCGGGGTCTTTTAAGACGAGCCAAAGCCGACTAAAGTAGTTCGTTCTCGAAGCACTTCAAAGAAGGTGGCCACGTTCGTTGGAAAAACCGGCCATGTTGCGACTATTGCACTTGAAGATCGTAGAACGGTTAACGCAGAGTGGTATACCACAGTTTGTTTACCACAAGTCATCGCCGAACTTCGAAAATCTAACTCAAAGCGACGCATCATCCTGCACCACGACAACGTAAGCTCACACAGCACTCGTCAAACGATTGAGTATTTGAAGCAGGAAAAAGTAGAAATTCTTGACCACCCTCCATACAGTCCTGACCTAAGCCCTAACGATTTCTTTGCATTTCCTAAAATTAAGAAAAGTCTTCGTGGTCAAAGGTTCCAGTCCGGTGAAGAAGCAGTCGACGCTTTCAAGTCAGCTATTCTGAACACCCCCACTTTAGAGTGGAATAAATGTTATAATAACTGGTTTGAGCGAATGGTAAAGTGTATTAAGCTACGTGGTGAATACTTTGAAAAACAATAAAAAGTACTATAAGGTTCTAGTTGTGTTTTTTTATTCAAACGACTATACTTAAAAGGCATGCCTCGTATTTCGCTCGATTGATGCTATTTCTGAGAATGCAAAGGACTTTATTGCCTATTTTTAAAGAAATACACGTATTTAGGAGTGTTTATTGCATAAATATATTTTAATATCATTAAATCCCCAATATTTTATTTTGCTTATTACGACTTAGCATTAGCAAGTGGCCGGGAAATTAGGTATTGTTTTGAATGGCTTTGTTTTCTCTTAGTGTTTTGTTGAATTGTTTAAAGTTGTTCATAGGATTGGTACCTCTATAGTATTTGTTAATAAGAAGTTGAATTATAGAGTAGGTTAGGTAATTTGAATTTTGAAGAGTGTGACGTGTGCGTTGTAAATAGGTATTTTGTGAATAGATAGGGATATTTCTGTGAATAGATAGTGTTAAGTGTCGAATTGACGAAAGCTAGCATATGGCGAACAAACCCTACATTGCATTATTTCTGTAATAATGTTGGAGAAAATAATAATAATAATAATATCTTTATTTGCATTAAGTTGTACAATAAACCACTTACAATTAAAACTAAATAGGATCACAATATTACACGGTAAGCAGTATGTTGTGACACTGATACCCAAAGTAAGATTTAACTTGTGTTATGGGTATCAGGTCTCTCACATTTGGAATACAATCAATCAGATGTAGCGTGGTTACAATTGACAGACACTATGTCTATTACATGCAACAATTAAAAAAGAACATGCGTGTGTGAGAGTGAGTATGCATGCGTGCGTGTGTGTGTGTGTGTGTGTGTGTGTGTGATTGACGCACGTATGTGTGTGTGTGTGTGTGCGCGTTATTCCCGTTCGTGTAAATAGTTTTTGATGTTATAGCCTACAGGGTTGATAGGATTATTAGGTTCTCTGTCTCGGTATAAGTCAATGTGTAAAGCCACTCATAGACTTTCACCTTGCATCTATATTTGGTGAGGTGGTAGATATCACATAGCTTATTTACTTTATTGTATAGAAAGTTGCCAAGAATGTGGAAATGACGCCGAGCAGCAGCAGTTTTTGATTTGTGGGTGGGACAAACTTTATAGTATCGACGGCCTCTGATAACATTTGTATCACACTGAAGATGGCTATGTTTACGGAGTATAGTATGGAGTATAAAGAGCTGTCTCACCGTCAAAATCCTACACTCTGAGTATAACAAGGTAGTCGAGTACCTGAAAGTTCTGAAGGTCATCACCTTAAGGATAGCTCTCTGTGCTCGTTCAAGTTTCAGGAGATGCGTTTTCGGTGCACCACCCCACACAGTAATGCAATACGTGAGTACTGATTGACCCAATGCAAAGTACACGGTCCTAAGTGTATCTGGAACTGCGGAGTGCCTTAACTTTTTAAAGAGAAAGATAAGCTTCAGTGTGATTCACTGAATCACTTAAGTGAGATTGTCAAGATGTTGCTTCCAATTTAATGAATTGTCAATGAGGATACCGAGGTATTTTACTACAGTAGTTCTTGTAAGATATGGACAATCACAACTAGAGTTCCCAGGACACATGTTAATGTGGGCCCTGAGAGCCAGAGTATCTAAGAAATGTAGTGCAGAAGGCTTCAGACAAAACGGAATGTAAGTAGTTTTATGCAGGTTAATTGTTAACGTATTTACGTACAGCCAAGTCATCACTGTCTCAATGGCTTTTTCAGCATACGTATACGTCTCTGTCCAGTTATTACCATGTAAAATTAAGGCTGTATCATCCGCGTAAGTATATATGCAACAGTTTGGTAGTCTGAGCTTGCAGAGGCTATTAATGTAAATTAAAAACAGCGTCGGCCCCAAAATTGAACCTTGTGGGACCCCAAAAGTGGATTTAGTGTCACTTAATAGTCCATTTATGGTAACACGTTGGGTTCTGTCATTTAAATAGTCCCGGAACAATTTATGAGTCAGATCACGAATACCAATGTTTTCCAACTTCGAGAGCAGGCGCGGCACAGACAGTGTCAAACGCCTTTGAAATATCAAGGAATACACCTAGACACTTCTTACTATTATCTAGCTTTGCTACAGTATGATCCACAAGTGAGGCAACGACATCTTCTGTAGACTTTCCTTTTCTAAAACCAAACTGATTTGGTGCTAGGATATTCTGTGATTCCAGATAGTCCACTAAACGATTGTTGATAATTTTTTCCAGAATATATAGTAGCCACTTTTGATGGCGAAAATCGCGGTGGGTTAAAATATAATAAAAATAAGGTATTTATGTAAAATTAGTAGGTACTTAGTGTAGTGCGGTTGTAACTATCGTTTTTTATTTGCTCTCCTGGTACGAAATAGCAATATTAAGAATTCGCAATTAATTAAATTAAATCTAATTACCATTATTGGCCATTACTAGTATGTATGTTCATATGCAATAGTATAGTTTAATAGTTAATACACTTTAATTTCGTAGTAGTTTAACCAGTCGCCACGCCGCTTCCTACTACGCTGGGTGTTGTGGGTTCGATTCCCACATGGGACGACACTTTGTGTGATCCACAAATTGTTGTTCTGAGTCTGGGTGTTCTTTGTGTCCGTTTCATGGATGTTTGGAAAGTCCCCTACGGCACAGGACGATATATCTGTGAGTGAGACATTAAGAGTATTTCCTAACTCAAAGACATTACAACTAGTTAAAGGAACCGGTATATTAGAAATTTCTGTAAATACTCTTTTTAGCATTTGCCGCACTAAAAGTATGCGGTTCCCTGTGCAGCACAGCGAGCATCGAGACTGACGGTAGAATTCGTGGTGACGCATCCGAGACTGCTATCTTAAACTTTATCTTCAAAGTTGACGATCCAATGTCCAACAGGACGAAATATCCTAAAGTAGCTGAAATACCTTTCAATTCCGTAAATAAATACCAAGTAAGAGTAGTCACGCTTTGTTTTTTCCGGAGACCTATTTTTAAAAATTCTAAAATTAGTAACACTTTATTATTTCGTATTCTTTTTATTTGTGGTTAGTGATCTTGCCAACTAAGCCACAAGTCCCGTCCAGGGATATTTCCCGTTCAATTTAATAAATGATATAATTATTATATTTATCTTCATTAAGCAGCAATTTCCGAAGATTAAGACCAAATTCGGGTTTGCCAGTCATATCCGCGCCCATATCCATAGAATCCATATCCATATATATTTTTCTTTTTCATTTCTTTTCACTATTATTTTTGGTGAGACCTACAAATTCTTCCTTAGTATTTACTACATATTTCTATGTAGCTTAGAATAGAGATTTTCTCGTCGTTTTGGTCGTTTTTTAAATTATATCGACGTTTGACAATCACGTACCAATGTAGGTGACATAGATTGCTATTTATATTATTAGGTCAGTGTGCACCTGGATAGTGCGGCATCGCAATTTATTGTCGTGATGAAAGGAGCACCGGAGTGTTTGTTTGAACGCTGTGCCACTATCGCGATGGGCGGCCGAGATGAACCCATGACGAAGGACATGAAATCACTAGCTGAACATGCGAGTGAGGGTTTAGCCGACACCGGTGAGTATTCCTAATGACAAAAGTATTAAACAGAGTTTACTTTACCAATTCTCACAAATGTTAGTGTTGAAATTATAATTACCTTAGGTTGCTCCGTTAACAGTATTGTTTGTTTGCCAGTATAGGTTCGCTTACACAGTATTTGACGCGATTTTTTTTGTTATATCGACTAACTACAGTAAGCTCTTTTCAGTTTTTATTTTGCTACAAATGAATGAATTACTTGATAATTATTATTAACTTATAAGTCATTAATTAATTAATTCATTTATATAAATCTTCTTCAATTTTCATTTGTAGTTAGTACCTATATCGTTAAATATTTTCTTATCTTATCCGGTATGGAGCTTGTACTTTCTTATCAAATTTGGTAAAGAAAATTTGTAAGGACCAAAATAAATTGTTTTCTTTCTTTCATTTTTAAAAGAGCAACAATAAAACAGAATGGCCATGCCCCCGACTTATAGTAGCTGACGTACTGGACATCTCTAATCATCAGCAAAACACGGGATTTGATGGCATGACACATGACAGTTTAGGTTCAACTATTTAGGTAGTGTGGCCTTGATTAGGGGATAATATTTTTTAATTGTCCTAGAACTAAGTTTCCTATTTATGAATTCCTTCCTCCTCATATTCCTCATCCCACGTCCCTTAAATTACTCTTATCTCGCGTTTTTACCCCTTTTGTATACATTCTAGGTAAGTGCATAACTTTAAACAAAATTAAATTATAGTTTCAATATCACAGTGTAATATTTGTTTTTGTTTTACTGGTTATTTCTTATTTTGTATATGTATATATATTATTAGCTGTGTATATATTTTACTAGTTTAAGTTTTATCATGCCTGTAAAAGATAACAATTTATTCATTCTTATTCTTTCATTCTCAAAAAATTTTTTTTTTGGCTCTACCACAGCTCTACATAAAATCCTTTGACAGTTAGTCTTTCTAATACATGATATTGGCGAAATTGTGGTTACACTCTACCACAAAGCCATTAACCAAAAGTTGAAGTTGAACTATTTAGGCTCACTGCAATTTGTAATACTTAACATAGGTCAATTTATTTAAGGTGAGAGAGTTCTTGCATTTGCTGATTTGACACTGGATCCAAAAAAGTACCCTTTGAATTACGAATTCGATGCTGACAACATCAATTTTCCAATAGAAAACTTACGGCTCCTCGGTGTAATGGGACTCATAGATCCACCTCGAGCAGAGGTTTGTAATTTTGTTCGTACTTATTTATTGATTTACAGGCTATGAAAGATTAAATTTCATTTATTTGTCAAAATCGATTAACTTTAACCGTCTGCGACATTCTTTCTACCTGTGACGGCTCATCACTGCGCTTTGCAAGGTAGGCGGGGTGCAGGCAGGGTGCAGGCGATGGCTGCGGGCGAACCGACCCCTAGTCGACCGCCGTGCCGCACGCGCAGCGACTGAGAGATCGTTACTCGCGACGAACCTGTGCTACTCTGTTCGCCTCCGCCGCCGCGCCGCAACCACATATTTATATCGAGTATTTTGTTGGTTATTTGCGTGCCATGTAAAAACTTATATGACATTAAATTCGTTCATGTGGAGTTCGTGCTTAACTGGAAATCCCCAGTAGACAGGAACCCACCTTTGATGACCCCGACGTGATAACGCGCGCTTTGTAAAAATGACCCGGCCTACTACGTATGCGATCATACCGTCCGCGCCTGAGGGCAGCGCCGACGACGTTTTTCAAGACTCCGCCCGGAACGTCTATGGACCGTGTGGTCGTGCGTTTACTGCACTTTGGGCTGAAGATCCCGATTGCTGGTTTGCGCAAGCAGAAGCGCAGTTTCAGTTATCTGGCATTAAGGAGGATTCTACAAAATTTAATCTTAAAGTTACGACCGACTGAACCGACCCCGGGTCGACCGCAGTGCCTGAGAGATCGTTCCTCGCGCCGAACCTATGCTACTCTGTTCCCCTACGCCGCCGCGCCGAAACCGCGAATATCGAGTGTTTTGTTTGTTATTAGCGTGCAGTGTAAAAGTTTATTTGACATTAAATTCGTTTATGTGGAGTTCGTGTTTGATTGGACACCCCCAGTAAACAGGAACCTATATACCCATTACCAATTATTTGGAAACCTTATTAACACTCAGATGCCTTTATAGAATCCTAATCTAGAATTGGATACAGTTATTTACGGCTTACGGCCAAAAGTAAAACACTAATCAGAGAAGTAACACTGGTTCTCAGGTGCGCAGGGCGATCGAACGAGTGCGGGCAGCAGGAGTGCGGGTGATGATGGTGACCGGTGACCACCCGGCAACTGCGCGCGCTATAGCCCTGGAAGTCGGCATCGCTACAAACCCAAAGTGTTTTGTCGTAACCGGCAATGAACTTAGAAAACTGACTCCTGATTTATTAACTTGGACACTTCAAAAACACCATGAAATTGGTAGATACCTAAAATATTTAAATTAACTGATTACCTACTTATTTTAAATCTTACCTGCTAATAGATGCTCTAACAGCGGTCTCTTATTTAGTTGAGATTTCTGATTAGTACCATCTGGCGGCATCGATAGAATAGGTGAAGGTAAAGTGTTCTGTGTACTTTAATTATGCAAATATTATCTAATTGAACGATCATGAACTAATATTAAGTCAGTTTTCTTTTAGATAAAAATATTACGTTTCTAATAAATATAATTTAATTTTTGTAAATATGTTTATTGTTTTTTTATCGTAGATTGATCTTATGATGAAGTGCAAAACTCGGCTGAAACCTGCTGCTAAATAAGCTATAAAATAGCAACTGGACATCCCTAACCACGGCCAAGGAGGGGCGCGTAACCACCATTAACAGCGGAGGGACCGAAACGGGGATCCCACGCAGATGTAGTCGCGACAGGGTTGAAAGATCAACCCACCGCCGACGTAGACTCCTTCTCGCGCCCCTGAGACTCTTCGTTCCCTGGAGAGCCTTCTCGACTGCCGACAGAGACTCCTGGATTTTGGAGGGGACTGCGGCTCCCGAGGTAGCCGGGGAAGTCCCATGGATTTCACGCTCGGTCTCCGTCGCTGTTCCCGTTTTGGTCCCTCCGCTGCTAATGGTGGTTACTTCGCCCCTCCTTGGCCGTGGCAGCTTGGTGGGCCGGCTTTCCTCTGCTGGACCCTTTGGCTTGCGCTTGCGTATACGCGCTGCCTCCATGGCTTGAGACGACCGCGAGGAGACGGAGAAAAATGACGAAGCGTCACTATCCCCCGAATCTCCCGGCTGCCACTCCATTTCTCGGCCTCTTACCGACTGTGTAGTTGGGCGGTTGGTCGCCGGTGCCCGCCTACCCTCTATGCCTCGCTCGCCTGACTGGACGCGGGAAGACGCCGGACTCGACGTCCTGGGACGCACAAAACTAGGCGTGTGCGCTTCAATTGTTGTGCCCGGACTCGAATACCGCTGTGCATGCAACTGTGCCCCCCCCACCAGAATACGGTGGGCTAAACACTCCGGTGTTACCCGGAGTGCTGAGGGATTCTCCGACCGCAGCGCGGTCGGTACCCTCCTGGGGTACCGACCGCGGTTTTCAGTTTGCTCTTTTGCGTGAGCTAACGCTGTGTTGCCCTAGCGACTGGGATACAACCCCAGCCCTTTACCTCTTCACCAGGCTTCCTCAGCTTGGGTTAGGGGTAATTTTTTATAGAGGTTTTCTTCCTCGTGGCCTTCTCAACCCTCCTACCCGTTCGAGAAGGCTACCGCTCCCGATTTCTCGGCGTTACGGGTTGGGCGATCGTTGCCAGAGTTCGGCAGCGACTCCCGCCGGTTGGCTCCAAGCGAAACTTCCGACGGTAATCCCGTTGCCCCTGTGAGACGTCGTCCGCCGAAGTAACCATCGCACGTGCCCTCTGCGCAACACGTGGAGGGATATTCCTGGACCATGCCCATGTGATTTTTTATAGCGGTTTTCTCCTCTTGGCCAGTCTCCTCCGTAGAATAAGGTAAAGGCCCCCGCTCCCGATAAGTGGGCGTCTGCGGGTCGGGCCGTCCGGTTGGCGGTGTTCGGCATTGATCGCCGTCAGTCGCTCTGCTCATAGCGAAAAATTCCAACGGAGATCCCGTTGCCCCTCTTGTGGCCGTTAGTCCACTCTCTCCGTGCCAAGAACCACATTAGCCGCGCCAGTAACTTAAGGTGATGTATTTGCACTGAAAATACTTAGTTGAACTTAGTTTTCATCGTTTCTGAATAGTGTTTGCAAGAACTTCGCCTACACAAAAACTTCAGATAGTGGAAGCTTGTCAGCGTCAGGGTCAAGTGGTTGCAGTTACCGGAGATGGAGTGAATGATGCCCCCGCACTCCGACGAGCGGATATTGGTATTTCTATGGGGATTACTGGATCACAGGTACCCGGTGTCTTTATATAAAAAGGCTACGAAAAACATAACCTTATTTTTCTGTTTGTCCACTCAATTTTTTTTTTTTTTTTGACTACATAAAATTAAACTTCAGCGGAAACATACTTATATCGGTTAAAACTTTTGGGTTTTCTCCACCATAGCTTCTCTCATTTTAACAGATTCCTCATGGAACAACCTTCTTCGAACCGCTAATCCTACAAGGATCGCATGTCGCATGATCGGATGTGTCGCATTTCAGAAGTCTAAGACCATTAAAGAATACGTAATGAGCGACAGTAAGCAAAGAAACCGTTGCTTTGGATGATGATAAGTCTGCTACTCCTAATCGAGGGTTATATTCTTGCCATCAAATTAAACTTGGTTATATTTTTGTTTTTAAAGACTCTCGCATTAGGAATATATCCTGTGTCGCGGGAGACTTTACAAACATTGATAAAACGTACACAAAAACACTCAGATTCAGAACAGTAATTTGTGGATCACACAAAGTGTCGTCCCATATGGGGATCGGACCCACAACACTCAGCGTAATATGTAGTAAGCGGCGTGGCGACCGCTTAAACCACTACGCTATCCGTGCAGTCAATTTATGTAGGTACATTTCCTCATTTTAGGTTTCAAAACATACAGCAGACTTAATTTTAATGGATGACAATTTTGCTACCATCGTAACAGGCATCGAAGAAGGAAGGAAAATCTTTGACAACCTCAAGAAGTCGCTCTGCTACATACTCATATCGAACGTACCGGAAATTGGTCCAGTTTTAATGTTTATATTGTTTTCAATACCCCTTCCTTTAGGTATGTAAAGTGACTAACAATTGCGAAATACCCTTAATTTTAGGGGTTAAAGTATGAAATTGGCGATTTGTAAAAAAAAAATGGAAAATTAAGCTGTAACATGTTTAGAAAAGTGAAAGAAATCAGATATGACCTTCTTTTGTCTTTGACCGTTGTCCTATTATTTAATTCGCGTCATTCTTTAATATTTAAATAAAATGAGGATCCTATTTTAAAAATATGACCGTGACCTTAAAAGGACCATAAAATTCAGATCAGAGTTTATCCATTCATAATCTAAGGTCTCCACTGATTATCCAGGAAAATATCCTGAATCTTGTAGCTTGTCTCTTGTAGCTGCTCAAAATAATGATCAATTTCCTATGGTTTTGTGAGTTTGACCTCGGATTGGTGACCATTAGAGGTCAAAATTTGTATCATCCAATTGCAATTTTTTTCTCTCTTTTTAATATCTGGTTCAAAAATATGCAATCCCATTTGACCCTTGAGATAACCATCAAGATTGTGTGTTCTGGTACTTTTCTAACACCCAGTATATTCTGAGAGAAACTCATAGTCATAGAATAAACTAATTTGCCGTCTTTTAAAGATGACGAATTTTTTAGGATCCGACACAGAAAAAGACAAACAAGTGTTAGACCCACATGTGACGATCGCTGTGTCAGCTGTGTGTGTGTGTGTGTGTGTGTGTATTAAGCAAAGATTTGATAACAATAACTATATCGCGATTGACTACTAGTATCATGATTTATGAGCGCGTCAAGCGAATCAATATATGAGCACATGGGTATTTCCCCGTTGCGTTTGTTATTTATATATATTAATAATAATAATACGAGTATGTCTCACACATCTCACACACGGCCGTCTAATCCCAAACTAGGCAGAGCCAGTGCTATGGTAAACATACTCATATATTTTTTAAATGCATACATATTATAGATAAATTACACCCAGACACAGAACAAATGTCCGTGCTCATCACACAATATTTGTCCTGGGTGAGAATCGAACTCACGACCTACGGTTTAGCAGTCAAGGTCACTAACCACTAGACGAACAGGCCCGGCGTCGGAAGATTTCGTACAGACAATGGTCAAATCAAGCTAGTCTTGTCTTCGAAATACGGTAACATCCTTGATGATAACAGGCCTGACAATATGATTTGCTAAACAGTTTTTATCAGGTCAAATAACGTCTCCTCACCCTATATATATATATATATATATATATGCCGAAATTAGTACTTACATACTTTGGTAGATATCCTTTTGATTATAAGTATGTGTGTAGCGTGGCGGGCAGTAGGCATCAGCGTTATTTCTGTAGATATTCGATTTTTTTTCGGTAGGTAACTACCGGCGACCTTGAATAATTATGATATCTAATTTCAAAACACGAAATGTCATCTCTGCGCTTATATTCATGGGTAATTCCGTGATTCACACAATAAGCTAATACTACCTAATACTTTAAAATACTGTCATTCAGTGCGAAACATTGCAGTGGCGTAATATTATATTACTATTCTATCTATTTGTAATATTATTCCCTATCATGGAAGACATATTGCATAGATTTAAGAAATCTGATAATTAAATGTAGTATTTCATCAATTTCAAGGCTTACAATGACATGCAACCTGATTCCATATATTATGTTTTTGCTTTCGCAATGATAATTAAAAAATATATATATAATTAAATTTTAAGAAAAAACTGACTCCAATACGCCTAGGTCATGCTTCCTTCGTTACTTAATTTTCATCCCTAGTTCAAACGAAATGTAATAGTAGTAAGTGAGTAAAGTAATGGATTCTTGGAAAAACATCAATCCACATACCTACTTGGAAATAAAAAAAGAATTTTCCGAACCGGTAGTTAAATGACGAAGCATAAAGTAACAAACAAAAAACTTCCTTTTTTAAGTCGATTAAAAGCAAGGAGGTTTTAATTTCCCCTGTTTTTTATTGTTTGTTACCTCAGAACTCCGTGATTTATGAGCTGATTAGAAAAATTCTGTTTTGGAAGAATTTTCGGCGAATGAATCTGAAAGTTCATTACAATGCGTAATGATGTAGGCGTATTCGGTTGATCGGTGATACTTATTTAAAATTTAATTGTTATGAAAATGAAATGCCCCGTCTTAAATTCAGGGGAGGGTAGGCAGATATCAATAAAGTGGATCCCTTTTTAATTTTAGGGGTGATGACAATTTTATGCATAGATTTGGGTACCGATATGTGGCCAGCGGTAGCTCTTTCGTATGAACACGCGGAAACTGACGTCATGGCACGTCCACCACGTTCACAAGACACTCTCATATCAGCACGAGCTTTAAGACTGGTTTACGGGCACTTAGGTCTCATAGAATTTGCAGCTGGAATGTATGCTTACTTTGTTGTAATGGCCGAGCACGGATTTTACCCTAGCGACTTGTTTGGTAAGATATCAACACACAAAGTTAATCACCAGACTTTCTATATCCTTAAGCATTTCACATTATTCGATATTATCGTAAAGAGCAAGGTTTATTTTGATTGTATGCAGTGTAAAACGTTCACGGGAAAGTGTCGTCATATTTTAATATCATTGTGTATCGCTAATATCTAAGTGTCGAAAAGCCTTAAAAAAACACCTATCCTTATGCAGCTGTGCTCAATTATAAACAACTTATTATACATTTTCATTTAATGTCTTGTTCGTGTTTTTTTTACTAACTCTTCGCGGTTAAATTACCCCAAGATAAGGTTAATATATGAGATGAGGGCGGATAGTTCGTTATCTTTCTTAGGTGTTAGAGTAACCGTGAGATCATATGGTGTTTGTCACAATGTGTGTACTGGAAGCCTACTAATACGGATGGGTAACTACACGTCATGTCTCTTCATCATTCCTGACACCTGCAATCTGTTATCCAAAAACAGAGCTTACGATCTTTGTCATCCTGAACTGATCAATGTCACCATGATCATCAACAGCCATTAACAGTCCACTGCTGGGCATAGACATATCAGTGTAGAATGTAGCTTATGCAATATATATTTACAACTTCTATACTTGTTGACAATCTGTTGGTACGCACAATCGATGACATCTAATGGTGTAGACGGTTAACAAAATAGAAAGAGTAAATATATATAACATTACATTAACAGCAAGTCACTACATGTATTCGCGCCTTATATCGTCTCAAGAATTTTCTGCCCACTAAAACCAAGGCTACGCTTATGCAGTCCCTCATTACTCCCTTAATCGATTATGGTGATGTGTGTTATCTTGACCTGAATGCAGACCTCCTCAATAAACTAGACCGATTTCTCAATAACTGCATTCGATTTGTTTTTAATCTTCGCAAGTATGACCATGTGTCTGCTTTACGTTCCCAACTGAAATGGCTCCCGATTCGTCAACGTCGCAGTCTGCACGCACTAAATGATAAATGATATTTATTTCGGTAAGTAAATCTTTTCACATATTTTTACAAGTCAGACTTTATAGCTAGAAGGAGCCGGCATTTCCTAAGCCTCACTCTGGGAAGAAACCCCGAAACAAACCACAGAGGTGGTTTTTTAAAGTCCGTAAACAATGTTAAATAAAATTGTGCGAGTACAGTATAGGGTCTGGATAAGCCTTTTAAGGAAAGGACCATAGTTTTGAGTCAGCCTGTCCATACAGACGGCATACAGGCTCCAGCCATCGTGTAGCCTAACCGATATTGGTCAAGATCAACGACCCGAAGCATGACACTACACTACACTAGCAGGACATTTGGGTACGCCGTGGGAACACTCAAAACCACCAGAAAGATAATAAAATATGAATTAACATTACAAGCCTACACTATACTCACATTTACATATTTACACAAAAAATAAAAAAAAACTATACAATTCAAATTCAACGAAAAATAAAGCACGAAAACAAAATACGAAATACACCAAAAAAATAATAATTAAATGTCCATCACTTTCAAACTTAACAACAAAGATGTCTACGTAAATGTGGGAGTGAGCAGCATCAATGCCAAGCAAATTTGTCGTCTAAATAATCTGTAATAGTGTAGTAAGCCTTTTCACACAGTTTTAGCTTTACTAAAGACTTAAATTTGTTTAAGTATTAACAAACATCACAAAAACACAAAACAAATCATGGAATTTGCTTGGCACTTTATTGTAAAATCGCACACCCTGACAACGAAAAGTCTTGCTTACTTTTTGTAGTCTAGTGGTTGGTAACACGAGTTTATCTTTATTTCTAGTGTTTAACTACACTAACATATCTTTTTTCATTTCTTAATTACTCATCGGTGCCTGAGTACCTGGTTCCCCATCTCCGCCTCCTTTGCTCCAATCACGACCGAAATCTTCGGTCAACAACTAATATGCTTCTTCTCTGCCCCCCTCACACTTCCAAATTCATCAATTCTTCCTTCTATGTACAGTCATTTCTTCTCTGGAATGCGCTCCCAGTTGAAATCAGGATGTCCACTTACCGGTTTACGTTCAAGATCTTCTTCAAAATAAGTTGGTAGAAAGGTCACAACGCGAGTACCCGACTATGTATTTTGATGTTTATGTATTTATAAATGTGTATGTTCATGTATTGTATGTGTATACTTGAGACCTCTATGTATATATGTAAGTTAGATTTATCTTAAATTAATAAATTTAATATAAAAAAGTCAAATTCTCTGTTTTCTCTTGCACCTACAGCATCATTTTTCTACATCACCCGAAGGTCGACTGGCAGAGAATGCCCTGGGCATTAAGTCCGCCTGTGTACAACTTGTGCATTAAGTTAAATAAATAAATAAAATAAAAATACATTCATAATAAATGTTCAAAGGCATGTAGGTACGTACCTAAGTAAGAAAACTTTAGTACATTATGGAATATTTCAAGGAATAAGACGGAGGTGGGACAACGAAGCTGTCAGTGACTTGGCCGATTCGTTGGGTCAGGAATGGACCTTTGCAGAACGCAAGATGCTGGAGCGAGCGTCACAAACAACCTATTTTGTAGCGGTGGTTATCACTCAAATGTGTAACGGCATCATTTGCAAAACCCGATACAACTCTTTATTTCATGTTGGTAAGGATTTTTTTTTCATATAATAAGACCACGGACTAGAAAATAATATTATTTCTATCGCAATAACAAAATGTCCGCATCTTTGACCCTTTAATTTTTTGCATCCTCCCGTAGTGAAAAGTGTAAACCTCCTTTTTAAGGAGAGGCCTATGTCCAGCAGTGGACTATTAAAGGCTGTTGATGTGATGTGTGTTGATGTAGTGAAAAGTGTATATCTAAGATATTTTTAGGGTTTCGTACCTCAAAAGGTAAAAAAGGAACCCTTATAAGATCACTTTCTTGTCCGTCTGTCCGTGTGTCACCACTGATTTTCTCAGGAACGGGTAGACCTAGCAAGTTGAAATTTATACCAGATACTGAGGTCTATGGTCTCTATTAGGTGTATAAAAATCAATGTTCCGAGTCAACACGATAAAAAGATATGGGCAAATTTCGATTTTCGCGAAAACTTGTAAGTACCAAAATTTACCTTAATTTTATTTTTTTTTTATTTTTCAGAATTTTCTCGTTACTTGTGCTGTAAGACCTTACTTTTAACCAATATTGTCAATTCTAGGTCAACCGGAAGTACCCTATAGGTTTTGGGTCGAAACCTATATGGTAGTTCCCGTCGACCTAGAATCACGAAATTTGGCATAAAGAAACGCCTTACAGCCCAAATAAAGGAATAATTCCAAAAAATAAAAAAAATGAAAATTAAGATAAATTTTGGTACTTTACTTACTAAAATTTTCGCGAAAATCTACGTAAAATCTGAGTAGGTACGGAACCCTCAGCGCTCGAGGTCGACTCATACCTGACCGGTATTTTTCCTATTTTATGAAATACACACACGCTGCATAGTGTCAGATCTGAACTATAAGGGTAGTGGTCTCATAATCTAGCAGGTGTCTTGAGAGTACCTCATTTTTTAAGCTGGGTGCAATATAGAAAGAAATACATTAGCCCTTAGAGTTCTCTACTAACTACTATCCATTAGCAATGGGCATTAATGCTAATTAGGTTTAATTTAATTTATTGCGAATTCTTAGCAAGTCTTAGCATGTTAATTGCTAATGCTAATATTATTAACTAATATTGCAATTTCGTAACTTGTAGGTATACCCTAAGTATTAATTTTACATAAATAACTTTAATTTTTATTATATTTTAACTCACCGCGATTTTTGCGATCAAAAGTGGCTGCTATTTATTATTTTATTATTTATTTATTTTCTTCAAAATTATTACAGAAATAATGCATGGGTTTGTTCACAATATGCTAGTCTCGGTCAATTTGTCCCAAAATATCCCATCTGTTCACAAAATGCCTATTTACAACGTACACGTCACACTCTTCAAACTACTATATAAACTAATATATACTGAACTGTAATATGTACTGTACTATATAAATAAACTTATTAACAAATATATAATTATAGTAGTTATGGACTAATTAGTCTTCACAATCATATTTTACTGTAAATTCTTAATTAGCATTTAGCAGTTAGCAAGTTAATTGAGTGAATACGTAGGAATTAATACGTATACGAAATTTCATCGCTTCATTCGTTAATGCTTCACATTCACAATCTCTCATTCGCATCAACGCGAAGACCAAATTTAATTTAACAAATCTGCTAAAATGCTAATTCTAAATTACTATTGCTGATGCTATTTCTGAGACTGCAAAGAATTGTATTGCCTATTCTTAAAGAAACGCTTGTCTTTAGGATTGTTTATTGCATAAATATATTTTTAATATCATTAATTGAATTTTTCACATCACATCACATCATCACATCAACAGCATTTAATAGTCCACTGCTGGACATAGGCCTCTCCTTAGAAAGGAGGTTTTGGCCTACTATACCACGCTGGCCAGACGGGTTGGTATAGGGCTTGTAATAAGTTTTCCTTCTCTCGGCAGTGCTGTTGTTCTGCGTAGTTTTCTCCCTTAGTCGGCTCTTACGACACCCACGGGATGAATAGGGGTGGTGACACTGTATTTTTAATCCGTCACCACACGGACCAATTGAATTCAAAAAATGAATTTTGAATTCCCGAATATTTTATTTTGTTTATTACGAATTTACGACTTAGCATTAACAAGTGGTCGGGAGATTAGGTATTGTTTGAATTTGTTTGAAGTTGTTCATAGAATTAGTATCTATAATTTATATATATTTATATTTATGTATTTGTTAATAAGAAGTTGAATTATAGAGTAAGTATAGGTAATTTAAGTTTTGAAGAGTGCGACGTGTACGCAGAGGCGGATTAAGTATCTACTCTCTGTGGGTGTTAGAGGTACGCCTTATTATGGGCGGTCAGGGCTTCCACCCACACCGGTGCACCATTTAGTGTCATTGACTATACAACCCTGGTCTATTACTATAACTCATAGAGGAATCTCAATTACAGCTGCAGTTGTAGCATCTGTGTTTGTGTGTACACGCACTGTATCTTTCTAGGTATCAGAAAAGGAAAGAATAGAAATAGTGGCAATTACGAAATACAAACCCTAGATGTCAACCTTTAACATCTCTATGGAATAAAAAAAATGTTTATACTGTGTAAGTATGTGCATACTTACTGACAGTTCTTATTATGTTTAGCATAGGTACCTATATTTTTTCTTTGGTAAAAACTTCTTCGCGTGCGCCCCTTTGTCACCTCACGCCCCTATGCACGTGCCTACTTTGCCTTAGGGATAATCCGCCACTGCGTGTAAGTTTTAATTCATACGTTCACGAAATTTCACGACTACAATTAATTTGCTAACTGCTAATTAAGAATTCACAATAAAATATGAGTGTGAACTAATAATAACTATAGACTAATAATTCCATCACTTGGTCACACATCATTGGTACCTAATTATTAAATCGTACTAGTAACTGTGAACCAAATTCAGGATTCATAATGGTAACAACTTTTTTCAAAAAGTTGGGACCATTTGGTGTTAGTGCAAAGTTTTTTTATTGAAATATCTGGCATTGGTTTCAGGAATGAAGAATAAGGTGTTAAATATGGGGCTGGTAGTTGAATTGTTGATAGCATGTATTGTCTGCTATGCGCCTGGTTTCAGTACCTTCTTTAGAACTTATCCGCTGCGCCTGCATTGGTACGCATATTTTCTTATATTAGATCAGCAACTCGCTCCAGCTTCAGCTTAACTCAGTCGCAAAGCACATACAGAATTGTATCTTGAAGCTTATCTCTTGCCTGAAAGGAATTATCATTTTCCTATGGTTTTGTGAATTTGACTTTGGATTGGTGACCTTTAGAGGTCAAAATTTGCGTACATATCCGATTGAATTTTTTTCAATATTGGGCTCAAAATATGCAATCCCATTTGAAGATTGCCCTTGACCCTTGAGATAACCTTCAAGGTTGCGATCAAGGAAAGCCAGGAAATAATCCGGTACTTTTCAAACACCCAGTATAATTAAGTGTACTAACATTTTTTGTCGTAGTGCCGCTGAAACCTTTTGACCGAATGTTTTTCATAGTTTTATTTTTTCTGCTGCACTCAAACTGCACATTTGAGTTGCAGGTGTCCACTGGCGGCTGTAGTTACTTACTATCCGAGGACCCGTCTGCTTGTTTGTACTTTATTCTATAACAAAAAACTAAGATTTAGAAAAGGATGATACTAATTTGAAAGAATTGTCCGTGTGGTAACGGATTAAAAATACAGAGTGACGCCACCCCTATTCATGCCGTGGGTGTCGTAAGGAGTGACTAAGGGAGCAAACTACGCAGGACATCAGCACTGCAGAGAGAAGGAAAACTTGACACAAAGCCTATCCTTTCTAAGGAGAGCCTTATGTCCAGTAGTGGACTATTAAAGGCTGTTGATGATACTAATTTACTTTATTTTATAAGTATGCGCAAATGTACCTACCTACCTCAAAAATCGCTTAACTTAGAGATAGATGTTTAAAAATATAATCTTTTAAATAAATATTTGTGTCTAAAAAATAAAAAAAATAGTTTTATACTTGATGGCTATTTTTAAGATAAATTATGCCTAAACAATTTTCTTCATTTAAGTCTATTGATTTATAATTTCTTAATACCTTGCATGCAATGTATGCACATCATGTTTATTCAAATAAAGACTATTAGTAGAGGAGCCCATGATGCTAAATGGGGATGTACTCGAGCGTCATGGGCACCTATTGCATTTGAAAGATTATAATAATAGAATGAACAAAAGTTATATAATGTTCCCACTTCTAGCGGTAAGCTTCTACAGGTCCATTGAAATGTATGACGATTTTAAAGTGATACAAGCTGGTGGCGAATTATCGATAAAACAAACTGAAAATTCAAAAAATCACCATTTCGAAATACCCGAGCGTGTTAGATTTTATACAGACGGTTCAGCATAATGCTCCTTTCATACTAGCCAAAAATCTGACGAAAACTTTGAAGGGTATTTAAAATCTGATGGTTTTAAACGTTTTGATCTTTTGATTTTTTTTTTAAATGTGACAAATAAAGGCACGAAAAATTATGTAGACTAAAGATTTCTTCCATTGTTTGCTTCAAACTAAAAGAAGTTGTCAAAGTCATAAGCTTTTATTTGGAACTTTGTAACCTACCCACTGCTTTAAGTCACGCTCAAATCGTCAGATTTTTTAAATACACACAAATGTGTATGTAATTTATTTTTTATGGAATACGGGGTAAACGAGCAGATGGGTCACCTGATGGAAAGCAACTACCGCCGCCCATGAACGCCTGCAACTCAGGAGTCACAAGCGCGTTGCCAGCCTTTGAAGAAGGAGTACGCTCTTTTCTTGAAGGTTTGAAGGTCGTATCGGTCCGGAAATACCGCAGCCGATAACTTGCTCCACAGGTTGGTAGTGCGAGGCAAAAAGTGTCTTGAAAAGCGCACAGTGGTGGAGCGCTAATTATCCAAGTGAAAAGTGGGGTGGAAAATTTTGCCGTGTGTTAGTCCGAACAATTCCTCAGAGCACTCACCATGATATACTTATACGATAGAGAATGCAGAGCGAAGCTACATAATGCCAAGGGATCGAGTCGGTCGCAAATCTTTTAGCTGCCGACGATTCGAGTCGCTCTTCTTTGGACACGGTCCAGAGGGAGAAGCTATAGAACTAATTGACTCAACTTACCTTAATCTTACACGCTCGAGTATTTTTGCCATCAATTTTTTTTAACTAATCTCATGGGCTGCCCTAAACGATCCCCCTATATGTAGGGCTCATGTATGGTAGAGGTACTCAACTGGGTGTAAAGTATTCCTCCTATGTTAATCTGACACGCTTGAGTAAATCTCGAAATCCCTTCTCTACTACTATATCTATCTATCAGGCTCATCGATGTACCTGTCAGTAAAACTTAACTTTTCGCACAACTTCAACATTTTTATGAACGTCGTAGTTCATCCAGTTAACATAAAATTAATTATTTACATCTCATCTTACTGATTCTATCAATATTTAAAAGAAGGATGATCGTTTGGACAATTTATTACGTGCATACACACAAACAGACGGCATCAAAGGACCTTCTTTTATAATATATATACTTAGTGTTACTTTTTTTGGTGATGGGGTGGAAAACCTGTTCAGACTTCCGAGACCCCAGTTCCCATTGCGGCGATACAGGAGCCAGGAGTATGTGGTGTTCCCACTAAAAACAAACCCGATAGCATTTGATTTCGAGGTCTTTGGGCGGCCAAATCAATGCCGCGCCCATCCAGGCCCTATTCCAAGGGAAGCCGCAAGCTTCCCCCTACCAATATGTAGTGCTATTAAAATAATAATCTGCGATACTATGCATGTATTAATAAATAAATCGATTTGTTTCGTATTTCAGGTGGTTTCTGGCGCTACCATTTTGCGTTTTCATGTTTGTATTTGATGAATTCAGGAAATATTGCATTAGGAATAAACTGTTTAATGAATTTTATAACAATCTAACGTATTACTAATGTACATATATAGAACGGTAAGTACCTAGCTATCTGCAGTATCGAGGAAACTTCCTGCCTGAATTTCAGAGACTAGAAGGACCGGATATACAACGTCCTTTTTGAGCGACATTATCTATTGTTTACTGTGTTATATTATATTTAAATATAGAAATAAATTTATAATATGCAATACATTACTTTTGGACTTCCACCTCAATTATTTACACACCGAACAACTATTCTGTCAATTTTAATACAACGTTCCATTTTATTTCATAGCCTAGACGGAGGAAAGTTAAAATTAAATTTCTCTTATTTTATAGCAACCTTATTAAAGATAACATTCAAAACAGCATTAAAATATGGACCTTACAGTGCAAGACATAATTAGTGTTATTCTGTATCACGCATAGTTTTAGATGTCTGGTAAATAACGAGATAACTTAAATAAAACGAACTCATCCAGGAAATAGATTTTTACTGGCTTTTTACATATATTTGTTCCCACACATACTCAGATCTGCAAATAATAATAGTAAACAATTACATTAAGTACCTAATTTAATGAGCAAAAAACAAATCATTTGATTCAGGTCATTTCAATAACATCACATTAGTTTAAGGTCAGTTACATAATAAGGACCTTTAATTCAAGGAGTGAGCAGCAGGCTTGGTACCGATATAAATTCTGTTTGTGATTCGATCTCGTTTTTAATTCACTCTCAATCTAAATGTCGTAGATACAAATAAAGCCAATCGAACACTGAGACGATATGGAATACGATAATAATAAGTTATTTCGATTGCTCTATTAAATTATTATAATATCTGTAAGTTTGTAATACTAAACCCCAACCCTGACTTTAATCAACTGTATCACTGAGACTCATACGATGTGATCGGCTAACTTTTTTTATAATTGTATATAGATAATGTCATTTTACTACCAGTTAATAGTTTATAAGTGGTAAACGTCCGTATCCAAACATTACAGGTTGAGAGTTATGTTTAATAATAATTATATCACAAGTTACATTGAATATACTACCCTATTGTCACTCCGTGAACAGCAAAAATAGGAATGTTGTTTTTAATCTCTCCGAGATATTAAACAGCTAACAAGAACTGTTATATAAGTGAAGGGGTGTCAAAGTGACTAGTATTGATCCATAGATATTAATGTAATCATTCTTTATCTTCTGAGAATGACTGTTTTAAAAGGAATCTATTTAGGAACTACAGCTACGGATCAACTACTATTAAGAGAGTTTAAAAACTGTATTTAAAGCTGACACGCAACAATAATTACTATTACTTTATTAACTAAAAATGTTAACTGTTGACGAAAATGCTTGTATACATAGGAATGATTTGACTATCCTTAGCTATATTATGCACGAGTACCCATTCAAATAAGGCACAATTTAAAAAATAAAGACATAACTCCAAATTTACACACGGTTCTATGGTATAATAAGTAATTTGTCTTATAAAATTTTAACATAATAACGAATTTCACACGTACAACGGCCTTGAATATATATTTTTAAATTATACTAGCAATTACCAATTAGTTAAAATGTATTAAGTATATAAAACATAGGCATAATTGGCGTAAACATGAAGTAAAATAGACTACCTATAATACAGAAATTTTAGACATGATCAAGCCTGATTGATGAGAAAAAGTGAAATATAGACTAATGTGTAGTCCATTCGCGTTAAGAAGGAGGTTGCAACAAATTAATGTTTCATACGATAGCTTGGAACCCGATTGGTCAGGGTGCGGGGCTTTATCAATGCGTCACAATTTTCTTAATGTGAATGTACTACAGTTGGTATAGTTTCTGGAAGCAATACTGGAATAAAAACTTACGTAAGTGATATTCATATTAATAAAGGAAATATAGTTACACTTACGTGTTTTGACGAGAGTTTAGTTTCGAACCCAAGGGGTGGGTCGACATCCCGTGTCGGCGCCAGGTGTCACCTTTGTGTGCCACGTGGCATACATGAGATGTATGTAAAACCGTATATATTTTATAACTCTTACTATTACATACCCTGACAATTGTGATCCTTATTCATTATACTAGAAGCGTGTACCGCTACATAATTTTTTCACGATGATTATAGTCAATATTTATATATTTTACTTATATGTACAAAGCGTTAGTGAAAATACTAGGTACGTAATAAAATAATTGATATGGTATCCATATCAATTATTTTATTAAGTACTTTTTAAAGTAAAAGCATTTTTTGGTGGAGTTACGGTTAAACATGTTAGAATTCAATATTATGTATAAAAGATGACTCTATTGTCTGTACAAACAGTTACTCATTTATATTATAAAACAAAAGATGAGTAATATAGCTCTTAAACGCCAGTAAATTATGGTCAAGTAAAGGCTAATGTTTCTTAGAGGGACACATTTTACTAAATGTAACTTCTTTACTGCCAATCACAACTAATAAATTGAATTTTGTGCTAATAGATGTTGTAAATTTAAACAGGAATTTTGTAATATCAGCACGGGCTAGGGTCAGTAGGTCACTACACAAACTGTAATAATATATTATACACAAAATGGGTATACAAGTGTATTAAAACGTATATTATTATAAAGACGCACCACCAAAAGTCAAACCTCTAAACAAAAATCTAAAAAGATTTAAATAATAAATAAATTAATAATAAATCTAAAAGACAAGTCTATAGATATCAATATATTCTTCTTTTATTAAAGTTAAACTGTAGACTTCTGGAAAATCCTAAACAATGCCAAAACATGGTGTAACAAATATGAATCCGTCATTTATCATAATGGTCTATTAAAACAAATATGCCTAACTTAAGTTTGTCTTTAGATTGTTGTGAGAAAATAAGAATTTAGAGATATTAAGACAAGACAGACATCACTAAGGCGTGCTTCAAGAAACTATACCCGCTAAATTATTTTGCCCGGCTCTATGTTCAAAACAGCTTTACTTAAAAGTGGTATGAATTTACATATTTCCAAGGTTTACATACTCTAGGCATTATCTAAGGTCAATGAAATTTACAGTACACTATACCCACCTATATTTACCTTCACACACTTATATTAGCTTTTTTTTTTCAAAAATAAGCTTGTAAATTAATTTTTCTATTCTAGGCAAGTTCGTTATGATAATACATTTAATATCAGATATGAAGTACATTGGTAAATTTAGTTCCAAAAATGATAAGTACATTTAGACATGCTTAAGAATTTAAAAAATATATTAATTATTTAGTGTACTTTTAAGTAACAGTATCTTTTAATGTATAGATTCCAAAAGTACTTATTTATAGAAGTATTTGAATTGAATTTCTAAATAGGTATGAAAATAGGATTAGTTCTGTAGTAAGGTATTTCTACATTATGTTCATTTAGTTTTTTTATTTGATGGCGAGTTGAACACAACAATATATGAATCTCAATATATTGCTTTTTTTGCCTATTTAATTTACTACACTGAAATAATACTAATCGCTATGTATTAAACTAAAATTCTAATAGTTACATACACATTACGAAGGTATAATTTACAGAGTAAATACATCTATATGTATTTTATCTAGTTTCACAATTATATCTTTTATCGGCTTTTTATTGAGCGTAAAATTTTGAGCTATAATTGAAAAATGATATATTTTTTTAAATAATCAACAATAATAAAATATTTATCAAACTATAATATTTACACAACGAATTAAATTATGCAATGAAATTATATATAATGGCATACGAAATAAATAACATTCGGCAAACTTTGTCTATTAGATTCCGGTGTCAACAACTCGACACATGGATACATAAAAATTATGGAAACTTAAACATATATATAGAAGAGCATCATTTGCATTGATTAATAGTTTAAATGGAGGTTAGATACGGAGAATATAAAAAGGAATAAATAAATAAGATTGCCCGAAGTCAATAAGTTTTCGTATCACTGTTAACTTATATCACGATTGGGTAATCACGTAAGTTATGAGATCTTATGTGTTTTGTTAGTTGCGGTTGAGTCGGGCAGCGAGTATGGCGTTAATGTTCGGTTGACTCCGCATATCCGCTATAGAATGTCTAGCTTTTATTAACGCCTCTTCACGTACGACTTCATCTTGAAGTATACATCCGATTATTTTAGCTACAATTGTCGACGGTGGAACATGAGGATTCCCTGAAATATGACAATCTTGGCTAGCTATTTTGTGCTGTAAAAAAAGTAGATGTGAATCTACCAGAGATCCACGACCACCACCATACGGAAGACTTTTATGTTAATTTTACGTAAAATGGGAAACCAGTGTAATGGTTTCCTATTTTAGGTAAATAATGTTACGAATATTAATTTGAGATGTTTTTAAAGTGTTAAATTGTTATTTCACAATGAACAGTTAGGGTCTAGTTACACCAACAAAAACAATAGGTACATATTGTACAAAATATAAATTATCTTCAATTTGATTATCAAACCTCGCAACGAGACCCAAGTAATAATGAAGTTCATACTTCTGAAATTTTAACATACCAACCATCACGACATTTAAAAAACAAATGTCTGTTCATCAAATATTAAATTACAAATATTCGATAACTTTACTGAAAATAAAAGATCCAGCAAACATTTATCTTTAGGATCCGTGACGGTTAACATACATAAGTTTTAAATGTTTGTTGTTATAATCCAAAGTACTTACTGAACAGCTATATCTGGAACTTGGTATGACCTATGACAACTCGAAGGAACAGGTTTCATAAAACGGCATACGGGTGTGCAGTGTTCTGTTAGTAATTTTGTTAAAAGGGTTAGTAAAGACTCCTTCACCCAATATGTTACAATATTTACATTATATAAAATTATTATTGATTGGGTTAACCAATGAAAATCATATTACTAAATGATATACATGTCTGGTATAAAACAGTTGATATTGTTTTATTTTTTTTACTTTAAAATAGAGTAAATACAATTGTTAGTTACAAAGTCATAGCCGAATAAGGTATTTGAGAGCCTTTGAAGTAAATTGTAGGATTAACTTTTTCAGATATGTATACTAGTGTTGAAGTAATAATAATATTGTTTTTTTTTTTAATATATATATATATCTGAAGAGTTTGTTTAGTTGATATCACGCTAATATCAGGAACTACTGGTTCGAATTGAAAAATTATTGTAGTGTTGGAAAGCCCATTTATTGTTTATTGAAGAAAGCTATAGGCTATCACGCTACGACCACTAGCAGCCGAGCATCAATGAGGAATGTTGTAAAAACGGGGAACATTTATTTCTTTTGAGAGACGCCCACGAGGTTGCGCTTAAAAGCAATGGTTTAAATAGTTATGCAATAATCTAAATAATGGAATGATATTTTATAGTGCCAAAATTTATAGTTATGCCAAACACAAAACATACTACATACACATACACAAACACACTGGGGATGATGATGAATTGATGATGCATCTGATTCTTTTTAATTCCAAAGATTCAGTTTCCTGCTAATGTAAAGTAAGTAAGTAATTACCGTTAAACACGTTTGGTCTATTTATAAGTTTTGAATGTAAAATTAGCTCTAACAACTAAGTTGTAATTTGACATTACTGTCGTCAAACAAACAAACAAACAAGTTTATTGAAACCAAGTTTGATTTGTGTGATTTTGATGAGTGCTCTGTCTCCTCAACTAGGTTGATTAATCAGTATCTTAGGATTGTACCTCTGCATTGGCCTTACTTAATTAGAGGTACAATGGTTATAGCAGGGTTTACAATTTATGCGAAAAGTTAAATAATATAAAAAGAAATGACAAAAATTAAAATGAATGTATACAAAATAAAAGCAGATCAAGGGATTGACGTTAGCATTTAGGTACATACATCATCATCAACATCAACAGCCTATACTAGTTCACTGCTGGACATAGGCCTCTCTTTAGAAAGGAGGTTTTGGCCACCATTTTTTAGGTACATCCAAAACTTTATAAATATTATACTATCATCGAGTTTTTATTTTGCAATCTCAACTGCAAATATTTAAATATATGAATGATTACGTCAGAAAATTGGCATGTGCCACGTATAAGTGCCGTTAAAAAGCTTAAATGGAAGTGGGCCGGGCAATAATACAATGCACAGATTGATAAATGGAAACGACCCATTACATACTTTATTAATAATTTAGAGTCATCTATAAACAAATGTCTGTACACATGTACTAGTTAAAACTTAAAAAAAAAACTATTGTAATTTCCTATTATGCATTGGCCTCTAAACTTTACAATGCATGAAAGATAAAAAAACACATACTTTTAAAAATACTAATTTATACAATATCTGAACTGGTACATTTTAAAAGCTAAAGTATGACTGCTAAACTAAGACAGGTAAAATTTATAGAATTGTATCTCAACCTGAAACTGGTCTATGAATTTTACCTGTCTTTTGTATACCTCCAACAATGCACTCTCAGTAAAGGAAAATCGACTATTGCTTCTCTTTGTTTTAGGCAGACAGACCTTTTTAGAGGTTTAGCTGATCTGGGAATGTACCTCATTTTAGGCAACTTTGATTCTCTACATTTTTCTTTGATTTGATTGACACATTTGCATATTGTGATTGTACATCAATGTAAATTGTTCGTATGCTGACAGATTAAGAATAAAAAAACTACACTACACTAAAGACTAAAGAAAACTACACAGGATAACAGCACTGCAAAAGAGAACAAAAACTTGAAACAAACCTTTTTTTTTTTACGTGTGGAAATCCCCTCGGACCGTCACCGGTCGGTTAGGAAAACCTCGAAGTCGCTCAAACTCCGGTTGGGGGAGAAGTAGACACCATATATAGTGATCCCCCCCTCTCGGCAGCAACATATCCCGTGCCCTTGTCTCTTAGCGACAAGGGCAGAGAATGAGCCGCCGTGGAACCGACGACTGCCACGGAGCCGTCCCAGTCACCCATCCAGTTTGGACGGGGAGGGACAAAATAGGGCTCCGCGACTACGGCAACACCTATCGACCACTGTGCCATGGTTTGCAGGAAGAGATCCTGCGCCGCGGCACAGTGGTTCAGGTTCGTCTGGACCAGGAGACTTGATCCATTACTGGGTCGTCTCTACAACCTCCTCCTCCATGGGCGACGACGTCGACGCACGAACTACATCGGAGGCAGCCTGGGTCGACTGGCTAGCCCCCGATGCTTGCTGAGAGTTGCGGGGAGGCTTGCAGCCCCCCTGCCCCATCTGGCGATTGGCGGGCTTGTTACCCGCCGCACACACCGGGCAGTGAGGGGCGGCAGAGCATTCCACCGCCACATGCCCCGGTCGACCACAGCGGAAACATAGACCGCTGCAGTCAAAGCAGCTTTGACACTTGACGCGCGTGTGTCCCGATGCTAGGCATTTGTAACACCTCATCGGTCTCGCCGCCAGGACTGTGATCCTAGCGCTCACGAAACCGATTAGAAGCCTGCCGGCGTCGGCCAATACTTTGGCCGACGCTACGGGACAGCTGATCCACACGGCGCCAAGCCCTCCTGGACCGGGGCGGATGGTGCCGACCCTGACGTTGTCAGCTGCACCCCGTCTTCTCCCGGATTACAGCGCGGACATCTTCGGCCGTCACAGAGTCGTCCAGGCCCGAGATGCGCAGCTCCGCGCACTTGGTAGGCCTGGCGATCTTGACACCATCTGTGGTCGCGAATATACCCCGCAGCCTCTCAGCAAACGAGTCCGCCGTCTTTGCGCCCTCAGCCCCAGGGAACTCGAGAACTCGAGCTCCCGTCTGGGCGAGGCGCATCCTGACCCCCACCGTCCCAAAATCATTGGCGAGGCTGTCCCGGGCCTTTTTAAAGATGGCCGCGTAGGACAGCCCGCCGTCAGCCGCCTCCGGGTACACGGTCACCACTACAGCCGCGGTTTTGGGCGGCTGGAGCTTCCGCGGCCTCTTATTAGAGGCCGTTGCCACCGGTGGCGAAGGCTGGGCTTGGGCTGCTTTTTGGGCAGCCCTTCTGGCCCGCCTTCGGGACTTCTTGGAGCCCCTCGCCTCCTGCCAACCCTCGTTGGAGGGGGCAGGTGCGGAGGGGCCCGGCAGGGGTGTCGGAGTGGGGAGCGGAGGGAATGCCACTCCACTCCTCGGCGCCGTTTTAGGCCCCGTCTTGGCCTTCACTTTGGCCTGCGCCTTGGCCGGCGCCTTGGGGGGTGCCTTGGCCGGCGCCTGGGCCGGTGCCTTGGCCCCCCCTCCTCGGCTTTTGGGGAGCCGATGGAGTCGGGGCAGACGCCGCCGCCGCGTAAGAGACGCGGCCTCCCACCACGGGGAGTGCGGTCGGAGCGGCGACCTTAGGCCGCTGTGCCGACGCGAGCGGGGGGCGCACAACCGGCGCAGGGGGCAGTCTCGCCTCCAGGCCAGCCAGGCGTCCGTCCAGCATATTCCCAACTGCGATGAGAATTTCACGCAGTTGGGCGTCAAATACCCCTGAGTTGGTGGTAGGGGCAGGCTGGGACGCGGACGGGGCTTCCCGCTCGGGGAGGTTCGCCTGGAAGCGGGCGAACTGAGCGCTCAGCTCGTTCACCCGCTCCGTCAGCCTCTCGTTGGCCAACTGTAGGCGAGAGACATCGCCCACTAGGCCCTCCACGACCTCCGACAAAGCGGAGGAGGAGTCCTTGAGCGCCCTCACAAACGAGCCCTTAAGGTTTACGGACTTGGTGGCCACCTTGTGGATGATGGCCACCGACGTTTTCGCCCTCTCCTGCACGGACACGGGAGCCTGGGGGCCATTTCCCCCCACCGGCTCCCGAACCTTGAGCAGGAGATCCGCGATCTCCTTCTCCGCTACGGCCTCGCCGTCCACTCGTACACTTCTGTACGACCCCGCGTTTGAGAAGGCGGAGCCTGACGGGGTCGAGACCGAGGCCGGTTTTCGTGGCCTCCCTCGACGGCTGCTTGCCACTTTTGGTGGCATCATTTCCACGGACGTGTCGGTCTCCTCGTCCCTGGAGCGTCCGCGTTTCCGGCTGTCGCTTCGCTCCGCTTCCATGGCCTCCGCGCCATCCGACGAAACGGCAGATCCGGAACGCAAACGATCCGATGCTCTTCGGCTCCCAGAGACCAGAGTCAGACTGACTTCTGGGAGCCCCACCGAGATAGGCTTGAAACAAACCCTATAACAACCCGTCTTGCCAGCGTGGTATAGTAGGCCAAAAGCTCTTTTCTAAGATCTTTTTCTTTTCGGCTGTTGATGATGATCCATAAACATCATGCAGCTCCGCAGAAAATCATGTCTGGTCAGGTTTATGTGGTACTTAAAAATATTATGATCTGTGTATAAGATCAATGGACGGTACGCAAAGCAAAAAGGCAGGACTTAGAAAATTAATAACGCTAAAGCAAGACAAATGATAACACTAAAGGCGAAAATAATACTAATATGAACCTACTTATTTATCAGTGGTCTTCACTTTACTTGGATATCACAAATTGCCAATGACAACTTAATCTGAGTATGAGTGAAGTTGAAAATGGGAACGACGGAAAAAACTGATGCCCGATTGTAATGGCCGTGATAATTTTAGATCCTTGGGCAGATTAAAATCGTAATTACAAATAAGCCAACACGCTAAACCTGATAGAGCATGTTTGTGTGCATTGTGAAAGAAATTAGGAATTATAATGTCTGTATATATACCTAAGTATGTGATTTATAGACGAAGGACAAATAAATGTTTCCTAGTGCGGGAATTGTCATTTATAAGAATTTATAAGATAATACACATCTCCTCCAATAATGTTATGAAATTGAATAGTTTCTCCAGTTACTTAAAAGTAATCCAAAATAATAGAACCCGATTTATTAAGTTTAACCAGATTTGTAAGTATGAGGACTATTTTAGTCTGCAATAGAAAGCACTCAAATACCCTACTGTATTAATTGCCCAATTCACATATTTTTAATGTTATTAAACATTTTTACTTCTCACCAGTTAGACCTCTGTATCCAAATATACCGCAATCATGCATCTTCATCGAATGATGTTCATTTTTAATGAAATCTTCAGTACTGATTCCTTTCAGCTGCAAATAAAATCATCAATTTAGGAAGGGAGTTAAGGGCAACTCAGACCAAGCAACAATTTGTCTGGAAACCTTATTCCATTAAAGCTGAAAATGGTCTGAATTAATATAATGCAGCATTCAATTTTAAGCTCTATTTTACTGAAACAAGATTTATATTATAATCACATTTTAAAATGCGATGGCATCTTGAGTGTCGTTCTGTGTTGATACAAAAGCTGTTTACAAAGCATACTACATTAAAATTATACAATAAAATATAGTGGAAAATGATAGTTTGAACACAATTAGTATTTATTTAATTGAGTTCCTATTTTCAATTATAACTAAACTTTTAATTAAGAACGACAAATAAAGTGAGTAAGCAGGTTCAGGTATTGTTTTCTTGTACTGCCTTCAAGAAAACAATGTTTAACTTAAAGTCTTTTGGATTAAGCCCTTAGGTCTTAATAATAGTAACACATATCACAGTAACTAGTCTGCTGATAAATTTACTTATATTTCTAAATAAACACATATCTATACTAATATTATAAAGCTGAAGAGTTTGTTTGTTTGGTTGTTTGTTTGTTTGTTTGAACGCGATAATCTCAGGAACTACTGGTCCGATTTGAAAAATTCTTTCAGTGTTAGATAGCCCATTTATCGAGGAAGGCTATAGGCTATATATCATCACGCTAAGACCAATAGGAGCGGAGCACCAATGAAGAATGTTTCAAAAACGGAGAAAATTTATTACTATTGAGAGACGCAGACGAAGTTGCGCAGGTCAGCTAGTTATAGATAAACCTTGACACAACAAATAATTGATGACTGCACCGATTTGATGACAGCACTCGAACCCTGCTGTGATGGAACCGGTGCTCTCTGTCTCGGTCTCTAATCTGTCCCGGTCTCTAAACCCCTGGGTGGGAATCGAACCCTGCTGTAATGGCATCGGTGCCAGAGAGCACCGATGCCATTACAGCAGACCTCTTGGTCTCCTAACCCACAACCTCTAACTTAGTAGTTAGGATCACTAACTGCTAGACAACAGGCCAGTCTATAATAAATACATTAGTTTTGTGTTGGCAAGTTAAGTTGTTTCTTACATAATAAGTATCTGAGTATTTCTAAGCAGTCTGTTAGGGTTTCTTTAGTACCAAGACATTTGTATACTAACTTTAGATGGAGCTAAAAAACGATCAGGTATCCTCTGTAGTTTTTGCTGCTTTTCACTCGGCCCAAAGCCTAGTGCAATCAATACTGACTCAGCATCCACTTTTCGAGCTCCCAATACATTTAAGACAGAACTGCCACTTGATCCACTAGCATCAGACTAAAAAAAATTTTTTTTTTTTCATGATTATAAATTATAGTTTTAGGTACAATAATAATAATAATAATAATATTCTACCACATTCACACAACGCCATCTAGTCCCAAACTAAGATGAGCTTGTACTATGGGTACTAGATAACTGATATAAATACATATATACTTTTTCTTTTGTAAATACATACTTATTATACATAGAAACACCCAGACCAAATCAAACATTAAATGTTCATGCACACAAATTTTTGACTTGAGCGGGAATCGAACCCGCGACCTTTGGAATAGCAGTCCGTTACACAAACCACTACGCCATTCGGTCGTCATATATATATCGTATATCATATACCTTATGTGCGATTGGTATATCAGTCATATAACCAATCGCACATAAGGTATGCAATTAACAAATTGAATATAATGTTACCTGAAGGGATTGATCACGGAGTAATGGATTTTTAAACTTAGGAGAATAGCTCTCAGATTGCACAGAATAATCTCTTTGCAATCTCTTCATATTTCCTCTCTGGGGTGTGCTAGTTAATAGTCCACTGTCTAATGATTTCCTATTCCATGCATCCTTGTTAACATTAGGAACATCTAAATTTTGGTCTTCAGGATATGTATCTTTCACTGGTTCAATTACTGTATTTTCCGTAACAGTCTCCTCTGCTTTGCTATCATCAGACTTTATCTCTGTTTTTACTAAAGTATCTCCATTTGAGTTCAGTTCATTGGAGATCTCCGAATCTCCAGCTGTTTCAGGAGGAAGTGAATCTAACCACTGCTGTACTGGGCTACTGCGCCGCATGTCGTCGATAACACCACTGAGCCAACCTCTGACTTTTCTCTGTATTATAGTTGATACAGATTCATTAAATGTATCTAAAAACAGTTCTATTCTTAAACATATATTACAAGTATAGGGACACACTAGAAACCAGAAAAGATTATGACTAATATTTCTATTTAGGGGGTATTTTTGAATTTTTTTTCAAAATTATTATATCCTTACTGGATATAATAATTTTCAAAACATGGATATCAAAACAAATATCACATATGCACTGATTTAAAATATTTTACATATTTAATACTTAACTAACTAACTAAGAAAGCAAATGAGATGCGAATATAATCATAAGGATTTTGTATATTAGTTAAAATAAGGCAATTACAAATATCTACACATATTTAGCTGGTGAAACCAACCTTGTCTAGGATCCATCTTCAATTCAAGGTAACGCTGCATGCAATACGAGGAAGTTCATGAAATTGACGTGCAAGATGCGTTCGATGATCACGTACACTCTTTTATAACATTATATTAAATAAATAAAGCACTACGTTAATTCCAAAATAAACGACTTACCTTGCTGTACCTATCGAGTAAATAGGCTGCTAAATTTTGAACTATAAAACAATATCACACTTAGTATGTATATTTCACTACTAAATACTAATCATAGCCTACGACTTTTTTTTAATCCACGATTAAATAGGCAAAAAGGCAAGTCCTTGTAACTGACTGACAGGCGACAGTAGATTGAGTTGAGCCGTGTCAGCAATGACAATCTGATATGTCATTATGACAGTAAAACTTTAATTATCAAAAACCAGTACTGCCAACTCTAGTTTTAGGCTGAAAATTGATTATGAAGTAAAAAAAATGGGCCAATTGGTAGATTTGCAAAAATTTATAGAAGACAGTTATAGAAGACAATTATTTAACAATTCATTTAACATTCATTCATTCATAACATAGTCTTTTGTAAAATGTTGGGTATATCACTTTTTATTTGACTTAGGTACTCATCTTATTTCAAGTATACCTATTAATGTAAATGAAATAATTTCGTTCAAGAATACATTTATTTCGCTCCTGACCTCTTGGCTTCCTTTCAACATTGACTCTGAAAGAAAGCCGAGAGGTTAGGACACCTCACACTGCCGGCGTTCATCGATTTTTAAGACGTCATCACGTCAAAATATCAAATTCCTCCTAAAGTAGGTGTTAGAGATAGATTTCTTTCTCTAGCGCCTACTAGAGTTTAAATTTACTTAATCACTCCACTTTTCCACTAATAAAGCAAGCGTCTAGAAAACTTGAGTTTTCATCGTATAAAACGCTAACAAAACTAGAAATTAATTAAAATAGTACTAATAAAACTTTTATTATTAACTAAGTGACTGTATTCACAATTAGCTGTTACTTTGGTGTTTCTTTCGAGTTAAATCGAACTCACGATAACTTTACGAGTACATTCAGCTCACGGTTGATGCATCTAAACTTCAGACAAACATTTTAGGTATGATAAGCATCGCCGACACTTGCTACGCGGAAGACACACACGCACCGTGAGGCAACCCTGAGGCAACCCGGCCAGGGTTACCCAAGTCGTGGAGCGGATTTGGCGGCTGGGTCTTGAAGTTGCTCTGCACAAATCTGAGGCCTTGGTCTTTCATGGGCCTTGGAGGAAGCCACCTGAGGTATCCAGCCTCGTCGCAGGACGCACTCGAATCGGTATCGAGCCCTCGATGATTTATCTGGGGCTCGTACTGGATGGCTGATGGGACTTCGGACATCATTTGCGAGGTCAAGTCCCAAGTTGGTTAGAGCAGCGCGTGCATTGGCACAGCTGCTGCCCTACATGAAGGGCCCGATGGCTCCTGCAGGAGACTCTACTCGGGGGTTGTGCGGTCCATGGCCCTTTATGGGCTCTGTATCAGTGGCACAAGGAGACGCGGGAGTTGAATTGGAGTCCTGAGACTCTAGAAATCCATGACCAGAAATCCCAACTCCACCAAGTCCTCGTACAGGAGTTGAAGGAATGACTTGGACAACCGAGCGCCGGGCACACCGTTATCACGGCGGTATGGAGGATTGCCTCCAGAGGCATCACGGAACCCTCTAATATCAGCTGACGCAGGTGATCACTGGGAAAGGATACTTCGGAGATTACCTGTGTCTGATCCGCAAGAATCCAACGCCTGAGTGCTACCACTACGATGGCCAGACCGTGGACACGGCGCTCCACACGCTGGCGGAATGCCCGCAGTGGATCTAGCAGACATAAGTCAGGCCATCTGTCACCCGCAGCACAAGCAGTCCGAGGTGGTGGCGAGACGCACTGCTGAACCCGGGCGCCCTTTCGAGAGCACAAAGGGAACATGGTGGTTCCCACACAGGAGGGGGTCATCTACGCGCCATAGATTCCTTTCTAGGGTTCCCTGGAAACTGTTACCCGAGACGGCGTGCAGTTTTTGGTCGGTTCGAGTCCGACATAACCACCCCACCGGTAGGAGGTACCCGAGGGGATTTTCACATTTGGGACTAATCCCACCCACACGCCCACCACTGTAACTCCTGTACACCAGGATCCACAGCAGTGACCCACGAACACACCGAGTTATGACACTCGGGAAGTCCCAGGAAGAAATTAAACTGTCTTGGAACCCGCAACGAAATTAATCAGAAGAAAATTGGAGGAGTTGGAAGTACAGTAAATCCACTTCCCTCCTTAGCAAAGCGGGAGACAAAATGAAGTAAAATGGGCATACACCCTTTAAACAGGGAAGCACCACGGCCACAAATATTACGGGTCCTACGTGAGCTATGTTTGATTTCTATAATATGTATGGCAGAATCGCCTAAACGCACGGAAATTCACCCTAGTTGACACAAGATCCCCATAGTATACCGCCCCAGATGTCACCTGCAAGCTATTCAGCATTATATTACGTTCATTATACCAAAGACTACATTCCCAGAGGATATGATGAGCAGACTGTTCATAGTGAGAGTTAGGTGTTGAGCATTGACACAATGGTGACTCGACTAATTTAAATGAATAAAGCTTGCTCTTAAAGCTACCATGACCCGTAAGAAATTGAGCGACACAGTGATCCACCTCAAGCCATATCCTCGACAACCGTTCGCGAACAGATGGAAAGAATTGGTAAAGATGGCGCCCCTTGGATGATTCATCCCAGCGTTGTTGCCATTCGTCTATGAGGTCGTTATAGACATCGGGCTGCTGTTGAAGCAATCTTGTAATTTTACCGCGATCCCGCGCGCCCAAAAAATCGCATTCCATGTTTTGTTGTCTTGAATAGTACATGGCTGCACGTCTCTGCACCTCGAGATCGACCGGAAGCACACCCGCCAACACCGGCAAAGCCTCAGTGCTAACCGTCCTATATGCCTTACACAAGAATATCAGTGCAAGTCGTTGGCCTTGTAACAGTTTGCGACGGACAGCGCCTACGGTCGCCCTATCGGCCCATACAGGTGCACCATAGCACATAGAACCTAAATAAGTAGCTCCGTATATGATCTTTAATGTATTAAATGATAGACCCCATGTCGCAGTTGATATCCTTGTCAATGCACAGAAACTCTTTTTAGACTTTTCATTAACTATTTTAATATGTTCGATAAATGAAAAGTTTCTTTCTAAAACTAATCCTAGATAACACACTGTAGTTTTATTTTTTACAGTAACATTGTCAAATCTAATGCTCGGCGGTGATTTGAGGTTACCTTTTAAAAGTAGTTGGAAGGTTTTATTGGGTGCAAAAGTTAAGCGATTACGTTCACCCCATTTTCACATAGAAAAAAAAGTATGATAAGCAGATGAGGTACTGTTCACAATGCATTCATAATACCGATCAGCTCATTTGTCAAACACTTTCGCCCTATGGATTGATTCAAAGTTCTTACATGAATTAAGTTACAGTATAGTATAATTAAAATTACTAATTAAATTAAGCTATAAGTATTTTTGCCGACATATACAGTGTGTCACTTATGTTTTCACGAAGCTATGATCAATATATTCTGCACTTTATTTCTAGACGATTTGCAAAATATGAACAAAAAATATTCAGTGGTTTAGAAACAGGTCATTTTTTTTGTTTTCGTAATTTGCAACATCATGTCTACATGCAGTCATAATACATTGACATCAGGCGGCGATCAGCTGTATACGCGGCGCGGTAATCACACGTTGCCGCTTTTACTACACTCGAATCGAACGAAATAAGTTGATTATTGCGTCATCACGATGAAGGACACTCGTTTTTAATTAGTTCATCCAGTAAGGACAGTCAGTCGGCCCTTGGCCACTGGCGAGTGTTATGCTATTCTGTATCTTTGTATATGCGCTCACGACAAATAACCGTAATAATAATGTTGTTGTTGTCCATGAGATACATATTTGTTTAGAAAAGTTTTCTTGTGTTAATAATTGTTTAGTCTTATTGCTTTCGTCATAATACACGGCAATGGTGTGAACAATTAATGTTATCGTGTGAGCAAGACTTCGTAACGTAACGAGTCCTGCTAATTTTATTTTGAAAAGTGACAATATTAGGTTCTGTGTGTAGTGTAGTGTGAAACATACATACATACATTAATCGTAAACTTTAAAGAGTGGCAACTTTTTTTATCCACATATATCCACCTACATTTTTCTATATGTACTACCTACAACATTTAGGCACAGATTTATATATAATATAGACCCCGAAAAGGCCCGAAAGTAACTTTTTTTTTTCAGAACGAGTCGTGACTATGACGAAATTTGAGATTTTTGAAGAATGGCTAAAACATGACAAAACTGAACGAAACAGTGGCATTTTTTATTATATAAGTGAAAAATTCAATATGTCTGATGTTTCTGACGATTTTCTAAAACGACTCAAAATGAAAATATCAAGCCTTTCAGCAAAATTCAATCAAAAGTGGACTTCTTTAAAGTGTATCAAAGAAATGTTTCTAATCAAACATAAAGATTGGTTAGAGGGATCCGGAGTCTAAATAAAGATGCGTGTTAACCAGCCGTGCACTTCAACATCATCAGCGGCTCTTTCCGTAGGGCGACCCAGAAAATCTTTTGAAGACTCATCAAAGAAAACGAAGAGACGGAGAGTAGAAAATCTATTGGAATCGCGAAGTGCAAGTGAACTTATTACAACAGCTGAGTTAGCTACTCGAAAACAAGGGCATCGAAGTGTTGCTAAACAGATCCATAAAGTCTCGGTCAGTGAAACTAGAGAAAAGAATAAGTGTTCTGAACAAAGTCGGCAGTTAACACCAAACGAAGCTCCAGCTTATTATGTGGACTCGAAATCGACTTCTCACTCATATAAACATACAAGAAAGTGGTCAATGAAAGCGGGACATCAAGTGTATCCATCGTTTTATAGTTTAGGTAAGTCCAAAGCTTCTTGTTGTCCTTCTGACGAATATCTTTCTGTGACTTGGATAAAACGGCTGAACGATTAGTTAAAGTTCTAGTTAAAATTATTAGAAGTGTGTTACCTCGTTCTTTTTATACGTTGATAAGCAAATGGGGCTGTGATGGGAGTTCGGGGCATAGCACGTATAAACAGAAATTTGAGAACACTAACGTTACAGACGAATTTTTGTTCGTATACTCATTTGTCCCTTTGAGACTGCTTGATGGCGAAACTGTGATCTGGCAAAATCCAAGACCTTCCTCTACTTTATATTGCCGTTCTATTAAGTTTATTTTTGCCAAGGAGACAAAAGAGTTTACGAAAGAAGAAGTTTATGTAACGTTGCTGGATCTCAAATCTCTGTTGTTACACACGGCTTGTTGTTGACAATGACTGATGGCAAAGTGTGCAGTGCCCTAACAGACACAAGTTCAACCCAAAAGTGTTATATTTGTGGTGCCACCCCGTCTACTATCAACGAGGAGTCAAAGAAATATCCCAGCAACGAAGAACATCTTGCATTTGGTTTATCTACTTTACATGCATGGATCCGCTCGTTTGAATGTTTGCTTCACATCAGCTATCGTTTAGAAATAAAAAATGGCAAGTCAGGGGAGATAACGACAAAGCTATTGTGAAGCAACGCTCACAAGAGATACAAAAATTGTTTAAAGATCGTATGGGTCTCATTGTAGATAAACCAAAACCTGGGTATGGTAACACAAACGATGTAAACACAGCACGTAGATTCTTTTCCAAGGTTGAATTGAGCAGCGAAATTACAGAATTAGACGTAAACCTTATTCGTAAATTTCATGTAATTTTAAGAACTTTGTCATCGGGATATGACATAAATTATATAGAATTCGAAAAGTTTTGTGTTGAGACTAGAAAATCATACCTTGAACTGTATTCGGGGTATTCCATGCCCGTTACTGTGCATAAAATTCTTGTACACAGCGCGGAAGTTATAAAGTCTTTTCTTCTTCCCATTGGACAACTCTCCGAAGAAGCCCAGGAGGCAAGAAATAAAGACTGTCGTAGATTCCGTGAACGGCACACCAGAAAGCGGTCACGTATTGTCACAAATACAGATCTTTTGAGAATGCTTTTAATTACGTCTGATCCTGTTATCAACTCATATAGAGGATTACCACGAAGAAAATTTACTTCTTTGTCATCGGTGGTTCTGCTGTTGATTATCCCACCTTCATTGCCATCCGGAACACCATCAGTAAGTCATCATCACGAAATAAATGAAGAGGATTATTTACTCTCTGAATATTCTACTGAATGGGAGAGCGATGATGACGACTCATCTGATGGTGATTAGTAGGTTTAAGTATTTTTTTATTCTTATTTTATTGTGTGTTGTGGTTGCTTATAATTCATGCCTTAGTATAAAAGTTATTTAATATTATATTTCTTTTACTTATACACCTTGCTAATGTAAATAATTGATATATATGGACTGTTGTTGTAATAATTTATTTTAAAAGAAATAATATTTTGTAAATTAATAAATATGAGTACTATCATTATGACTTTATTTTATTCCTAGAAATTTCTTTGTCAACAAACATGAGTGTGCTTTACACACATAATGAGTAGGTAGACGTAGCTAATTAAAGAACAATTAGCGACAATAGTGAACAAATGAGACACATTAGTAAACCACTTCCGTCTTGCAGCTACATATTTCGATTAATACACATACCTACAGTACATATTTTTCAACTTTTTTTTTCTTAAAATAGCTTAAGATACCTGGAATATACATAAACAATTGAAATAAGTTGAGAAATAATATTGTCCCGCTAGCTTGTACTAGATGATACACTAGCCGACATTGCGACGCTGCCGTGTGCAGTTCACCGACTCATGTTATCAATGGTGTTCTAATTCGGCAATTATTTTATTGTATTAAGTTTGTTCTAAATTTTACATTTCTGTATTTTTGTACTATTTTTATTATTTTTTATTTTAACCGACGTATATTGAACCCTGTTATCTGTTATTTCATTTTTTGTGATATGTATCATAACACCCGTTATAATTCTTTTGTACACTGTTAAAAATTTCTATTGTAATTTAACCAAAAAGCCTTGGAAGTTTTTACGCACAACAAAATAGCAATAATGAAATTCAGTGTTGTTAATTTACTACACAATTCAATTCAACATTGTTTTGATAAATTATAATATATTTGTTGTATTTTTACTAAACATCTATCGTAAAATTATTTAGCAATATTACACCATCTATCGGAGAGTAAAGTAATAAATTTAACTTATACATTCCTCCCACCAAGGACATATTAATAAAACTAAGTCCTTAATAATGTATAAAAGAAAAGAAACTATCATTGTTGAGATATATTTTATGTATAAGGACTATTGTTTGTTTTATGTTGTAGATTTTTAAGTAGTTATTCTGTAAGAAAATGTTTGCTCAAGTCTTTATTTTCTCTTCTTCTTTTAAGTTAGGGAAAGCCTTACGCTCCCTACTCTCTTTTATTACTATGCTTTCCGTGACAACCTTTAATTAAGGCAGCACTAATGGTTGTATATCACTGCCATTGTATCTATTGCTTTTAAGGTGTATGTTCTTGTCGGTTGTCCAAATAAAAATAAAAAAAAATAACTCCAACCACCATTTATTCATAAATTTATTCCAATGGAATACAGAAGAACAGAATTTTCTTTGTAAGTTATTATGAAGAAAAAAATTTAGTAAATGAAATTACAAACAATGTTTGTAAATTTCAAAAACTTTTTAACGAGAATTGTCCAACGGTTTAGTAAAATTACAAAACGGATAGGAGAAATTTAATTTTTTAGATAAATTACCATGCCATGAGTTACAAAAATATTTGTAAAATTTCAATCACTTTAAAGTAATTTCAGTTTAGATATTGTTTTCAAATTTTACAAAAAACTGAAGTAATTTAAATTACAAACAACGTTTATAAAATAATTTGTTTTTATTGAAAACTGACCACAGTTACTATATGAAGTTTGTAAAATTATAACTCATCTTAGTAGGTTTCCTCAAATATTTTAGTAAATTACTCGAATTGTGTTGAAATTATATTGGCAACACACTGTTTTGTAATATTACTAAATTTTTTTGTAAAACATTTGTAATTTTAATAAATTATTAACAGTGAACGTGTGTTTATAACCTAACTCATCCTACACGGCTGGACCAATTTGGATGATATTTTGTCTGTATATTTCAATGGGTTCGTAGATGGTTTGAAAACACAATTTAGACCCTCTGGTGACGCTGCTGTCGGTGTCACCTTATTTGCTGTAACATTTATTAGTTCTAAGTCGGTACGAAGTTCGCCGGATCAGCTAATATTGTATAAATTTTTGCATGCTAAAGTTACATGCTTTTATTTTGATTTTTTTATAACCTCAAAATTACATAATCATACTACTTTCCTGCTACTTTTTCTTTATATTTATTTTTCTTTATATTATAAACCTTATTATAAATAATATTTAGCAAAATTCAATAAAAGTATCAAGCCTTATTTTTCCTACTAAAGGCGTTATTATCCCATTGTTTTATTCAATTTGTTTAAAAGGTTCAACTTCCGTTAGCCAGACTCTAAGTTTAAAGTTCAGTTTCCTCACATTATGTCAATGGAAGATACTGTCAGTATTACTACGGAACATATAATAGTACTAGTAATATTACACAGGGGCATTTAGACCCCAATAACCATAAACTGTAATAGTCCTGTAGGGGTTCCACACAACAGGTTAATATACTCAAATACTTTATGTAAAAAAATCTTTTTACAGGGAATCGTCATCTTAACAGAGATTGTAATTCTCAAACTTTATCCTACTAGCTTTTGCTCACGGCTTTGCTCGCGTAAATTTCAATTTTGACAATGTATTTAGGTGGGATAAATAGTAGCATCACTGCTATTCTAGACGATAAGCTATCTATGTGCCAAATAAACACACGTTATGAAAAATTAAAAAAGTGTACCAGGTTAATCAGTTTACTGTGAGTTTCAATACGCTACTACTGAAATAAAGAAGTTTCATATAAATTTCCTACCCCCTTTTGCACCCTTAGGGGTAAAATTTTTAAAAATCCTGCACACGTTCTTTCATGCTACAGCGGTTTTAGCTGTGTGTTGATCGATCAGTCAGTGAATCAGTCTGTCAGTTTCTTCTTTTATAAATCTAGATTGAAAAAATGAAAATGCTTAAATATTATAAATAAAGAATATTTATTTTTCTATAAACACATTATTCTTTTATATTTTCATTCTGACAATATTATAAATCGCGGATCGCATTGGGCTTTCGTCAACGAAGTCAAGTGCATGGATGGAGAAGAGTTCAATGAGCAGACCGCAACTGACGCCGAAACGAACCGCCCAGCGCGCGCGGGTACTTAGCTAAATAATTTGTGCATGAGGTCAGGTAGAGATTACTTTAATCGCTAAATCACATTTGGACACTAATATACATGTATAACTACGGTCAACAAGTGTCAATATTGAGCAGTACGAAGGGGGGCCGCGGGAGCACGCGGCTCGTAGCCTACGTCACGCAGTCCCGTACACGCAGTCGCCGCGACGCACACCCGCTGTCTCCTCACCCGGCAGCACAGCGGCGCGCCGCCATTGGTCGCGCACTCTCTCCACGTGCTGCAACACGCGCACCACATTCATGCCAGCCAGTTTCCGCACATCATCCTCGCTCCAGTCTGGGTCGCGCAAAAGCTCGGCTAATAGGTGTGGGTACCTCGACACATCTTCGAGGCCTTCAGGCGGTGCGTCGATGCCATCATATCCAGCTCCCAGACCAACATGCTCCACACCAGCAATCCTTCGTACGTGGTTTATGTGCGCCACAACGTCCTCGAGCGTGGCTTTTTCACCACAAGTGACAAGTTTTGCGTAGAAATTGATCATCACAACTCCACCGTTCGCTGCAATCTTACGTAGTAACTCATCGGGAACATTTCTACTCGAGTTGCAAAGTGCTGCAGCTCCCGAATGCGAAAAAACTACAGGCGCTTGAGACATTTCTAAAGCATCGCGTGCCGTCTCTTCACCGGCATGCGATAGATCCACTATCATGCCAAGTCGATTCATTTCGCGGACAACAGCACGTCCAAATTCGCTGAGACCTCCTGCGGTACCCGCGGCTCGAGCCCATCTCGTATCGCACGTATGAGTAACGGTAAGGTACCGAGCACCGAGTTGATAAAACGCACGAAGCACAGCCAATGAGTCACCAAGAGCATGACCTCCTTCCACACCTATAAGAGATGCGATACGACCTTCACGATGTGCTTCTATAAGTTCGGCTGCATCAGTAACTAGTGCCAAGTGTGCCGTGTTCAGTTCGACAATACGTTTTATGACGTCCATTTGTTCCAGAGCCAGTTGAACAGCGTCCCTATCTCTAGCACCACACGGCACATAGGCCGACCAAAATTGAGCACCGACCTGACCAAGTCTCAAGCGTGGGATATCAGTATGCGACCAGCGCGACCGCGCCCAAGGTTCAATAGCATCAAGACCAGCACTCAAATTAAAGTCTCCTAACTTATTATGCAAAAATTTTCGGACATTCCATGCTAAGTCGTTATGACCATCGACGAGTGGAGAGTCTCGCAACATGCGGCGAATTGTAGTAAGTCTCTGTTCGGGAGTAGCTCGCCCGCCGCCGCCAAGAGCGAGAGGTAGCGCAAGAGCTGCACCGAGCGCGGCCAGCACGACGAGTGCAGCTAAAGCGATACGCCACCGCGGCCGGCGCGGCGTGGGTTTTTCATCGGAACTGCCAGATGCCGATGCGGATAACGAGTCAGGCGCCCAGCGCCCACAACGTTCGGCTACATCCGGCAGCGGACCGGGGAATGTCATACCTTCTGGCACTGCAGCCTGGAAAACAAAAAGTACAATTTAATAATTTTATTTTGAAGTTTTGGGTAAAATTCAACATCTACAGCTATAAAAAAAAAAAAAAAATAAAAAGTAAAATTTATAGGCAGAATGAGAATAAGGTTTTGTAGAACGTGAGCAAAACATTAACCTTAGGTAAAAAATGATTAATGACAATGACATGTAATGATATAAATGTTGTCTGTTCAGAAGCCCATGGTTGAACGAATGAGGTTATAGTTTTTTCGTTAAATACCCATTACACTCAAAACGGATAAAGCTCATAGTATGTAAATTATTTATCTCTATGTATTTCGTTGATAATTATTAATAAATGAACAGATATATAACATAATATAAAAACTCGATACCCCATTCTCCGAGCCTTTTCCTAAACTGTCCTGAGAGACCTGTCCCCACCAGCAATTATTGCTGCAATGCTGGCGGATGAGAAAGGCTGGGGCGCAGTGGTCTCTTTCTGTGAAGTGTAATGCATCAAAAAGAGACTGCTGTACGGAATCGGGAGAGGGCTGGCTCTGGTGGCAGAATAATTAATTAATGCGGTCGGGGATATCGCAACATAAATGTGATTGGTTTACTGCGGATGCAGCAGCAGTGGTGGCACAACCTATGTTTCGATGCAAGTTGCGTCCGACAACAGGGGCCTACCCATCTTTCATGGCAGTAACAACATACCACTACCATCTGGACTCTTTCCACGATATCGTTCCGGAACGCCATAAGAAATTATGTCAGAGACTGAACACATTAGATACTCAACACATTCTCCATAGTGACAAAGATGCGAAGAAACACAAGGGGCTGTTTGATGACTTTAACACATCATCGTGAATCATACTTTTATAAATTTTAAATAATTTATGTCTATGATATTTTATAATATAATTAACATTTTAAACATTACATTTACGCATAATATAATATTTATTAATATTTAAAATTATAGTAAATGTTAAATTCCCAGTTTGCCGACTCTACATTCATTGGTTGTGACTGTTTTCCGCTTTATCCCACATGTTTCCTGATACTCGTAAGTATAGCATAAGCTTCCAAACGCAAAATGGTTAAATGACAATGGATTCAAATGACTGACATATTAACGTCTCCCAGTACGTGACTTAAGACTTAACTAAGCCCAAACAACTTAATAAACACATATAGGCATATTACATTAGGATTACCATATGTAGCAGAAGTTGTACAGATTTACGTAACTACGGCAGGTGTATGAAGCGTATTTGCACAACTTCAAAGCAAACTAGGTAGTTAGGGATCGGCAAATTTTCAACAACTCATTAATTGCAAGCCCCACTATTGACATACTTACATATTTAATTAGAATTAATAAGACTAATAATAGTAACATAGATCACACATTACTAATATTCTTGATAACCGCTCAAGCTAAACCCAATATTCAGTTGCCCGCCACTCTGCTTAAATACAAATCACATAAACGAGTATTTATACCTATCGTTAAAATACCACCTAAATGATTAACCACAAAATGTACCTACTCGACCTACAAATAAAGACTATTTTTAAGAATATTCTCATCTATACTTAACATTGCTACGATAGATAAAGATCTTGATCTTGCAATGTAAACAAATAAAACAAATGAAAACCAATAAATTTATAAGTTACAATGGAAAATATAATTAAACAAATTACTTTTTAACTAATTTTCTATTAACAGTCAGTCACAGATAACGGTCATGAAATGTATGAAACATTTAATAAATATAATCGACACATTTCCTCCATTTTATTTCATTTTATTATATTTTTTCGTTGTGTACGAGACGTCTGAAATTTTATTTATTATTTCATCGTTTAAAAAATACTTTTGTGTAATTTACAAGAGAATATTGCGTTCATATCCGTCGATTCAGGCGTGACAATAATTTGCCGCATGTTCAATTATGCAAGGGGCACACACAGTTAGGGGACGATACTGTCGGGGAACGGGAAACAGGGTGAGCCTGAATAGCTTCTGACCCATTTACAGAGGAAACCGATGCGATGGCTTTAACTTGCCTGGATTTCAATCTTGACTGAAAAATAAGCTGATCATCTACTTTGTAATTATTTCAGGTTTTGATTTTTATATAATTTTTAAGCAATTATACTATGATTTTAATTGAAATTTCGAACATTTTAGTTACCAAAGGGTTTTAATAACAACTAGGTAATCCTCAATGTAAACGAAATACAGAAAAATAGGTAAATAAAATTATAGAAATTTATATTTCATAGCATTAGGTCTAATTACGTTTAGGCCGTAGGTATTTTGATTTAACAAGTAGAGTAGTCGTCATAAACGTCATGAGACACGTACAAAATCACTACTACTTATCTACTTTTTTATAACTATATCATTGAGTCACTTCCATTATTTAGCGCAAAATGGATAAAAATACCCTGATTAGAAAGAAGAAATAGAAATCATCACAAATTAAAGTATGGTAACAAAAGAATCGTTAAATAATATTATAAATACACGAACAACAACAACAACAAAAACATATTGAAATGACTTTTTTGCATGAATAGGTACCTAATAAAAATATGGATAGCTTCATTGTGCCTTAAAGTTGAGCCGTAGCTATTTAAAGTAGGCACAATATTTACTAGTATATTATATCAAATAACGTCACAACACAAAAATCAATAAATTTATCAAGAAAAGAGTTCAATGTTAGAAGAACAAGTTAAAAGCGAGCTAATTTTGTAGCTCTAAACAAGCCTCAAAGTTGCTAAAAACTGTTTATTTTATTTTATAAACTACGAGCCGAGAAGAATTTTAAAAGCCTATTATTTTTCCAAGTTATTCTAACGGAAGTGTGATATCTGCGCTGTTCACTTATAAATTGTTTGAACAATGTTATCGTTTGTGTTAAATTACAAAACCCCCGTTAAACATGCGAGTAAGTCAAAGTATATACGTGTTTAACTTAATTGGTTATAAACGCAAAGTTATTCAATTAATTTCAAGTTAAGCATTATAGCTGCCACCTTGTATTAAATATGTGGCTGTGACTTAACCTAAACTTCTTGTTAATTTCCCATAAGGGACTACTTGTTTGTAGGTTATGAATACGAGAACGCACAAAGTGAATTAAAAAGCTAATTTACTAGGCTACATGAACTGTTAAGTAAAATCAGTGTCTTTTTTTAAAAATCCTAACAGTATATTTTGGTACATTTTTTTAATGAAATAATAGTAGGTACTTATGATACCATTCCGTAGATAGTTTTGTCAAATTAGTTGCTCTTATTGTTAATTTGAAAAATATAAAGAAAAACATTAATATAAAAACATACCGTATTAAATAAACTCAAAAGACTGTTTTTAAAAATGTTATATTGCCTAACTTAAAGAATGAATCAAAAATTAAAATTAATTAAATTAAAATTAAATTAATTGATTTTATTTGATGATATTTCCTTTTTTCCTTTCCAGATTCCTAAAGTTAATTAAATCCACTTTAAGCAAAGGAATCTGCCCAATTATGTTATTATTTTTTATTTAAAACATTTAATACCACTAGATACACATTTATAATGAAAATGGGCAAAATTGTAAATGAAATTCACTATTCAATTCGTGATAGCAACAAAACTTTAAAACATCGTAAATTTTTCCAATTAAAAAAAGTAGGTATCTCATTAAAATCATCATAGGTATGTATATCAGTTTAGTTACAATTAACACACACAATATTGTAGTAAGTAATGTTTACATAGCAGAGGTGAGGAAAGTCGTGAAAACAGTCGACGGGGCGAAGTAGGTGCGGGGGCGGAGCTGCATCGATTCGCTGCATGGCAGACACCGAGCCCGGCGAGCCAGGGAGTACGGCCGCGACCCACAGCTCACAGGCCACGGCCCACACGGTGCTGTTGCCCCCGCGACATAATGTCGCGTGAAATTTGCATCCCTATTGTTACCTTACCTACCACTATCCATCCGTCCGTAATGCTTTTATGGATAGACCTGGATGCTATATGGACCGAGTGCGAATTATATCACGCAGGATGATTGAATATGTCTGTAGGTACCTATGTATATTGTTAAAACGGTTACATGCTCTGAGCGGATGGGAGCGAGACCGAAAAACGTGTAACAAGACTTTTTTCCGACAATTTAGTTGGCGCGTCGACGCTCTTTTTAATATTTCATATATAGAAAACGTCTACCAAAAATCTAAAGGAACTTCGTTCCGACCGGGGGTCCATAGACCCCTTACGCCGTTTTTATTCATCATCATCAAATTTAATTGTCCACTGCTGGACATAGGCCTCTCCTCAGAAAGGAGGTTTAGGCCTATACTATACCACGCTGGCCAGACGGGTTGGTATGAGTTTTGTGTCAAGTTTTCCTTCTCTTTGCAGTGCTGTTGTCCTGTCTAGTTTTTTTTCCCTTAGTCGCTTCTTACGACACCCACGGGATGAATAGGGGTGGTGACACTCTGTATTCTTAATCCGTCACCACGCGGTTTTTATTACACTTGGCTTAACAACAGTGTTACTACGTTTTGTAAGAGTCCGTGGCTAATCAAATTATATTGGAACGAAGTTCCTTATCGCATGTTACACGCTCTGAGCGTATGGGAGCGAGACCGAAAAATGTGTAATAAGACTTTTTGCCGACACTACAGGAAACGTTTACTAAAAAGCGAAAGGACCTTCGTTCCGACCGAGGGTCCAGGCCACCCCACAGGCCGTTTTTTTGTAATCATTTCTGTTCTAGCAGTGACTGTTGAAAACTAGTCCAATCCTAGAAAACGGATTTACACTCCGTGACACTATAGCTATAAACTATAAATACGACGGCGATTTTCAAAAAACAGCTGGAACCGACTATAAAAACTAAAGCAACAAACAGTACTTAAAAATTTGGCAACACAAATAACTCACGAATAGACAGGAAACTGAGGTTGGTACACATCACTTTGTTACATTATGGTTGTGATATAAAAACTTGTCATATCATCTTAACACAATTGAAATTCTAAATAAATACCTACTATAATTCTACCAGATTGTCATGATACTTGAAAAAAGTTGATTTGCTAGCCCCTAGCTGTTTGCCGGCGTTCTCTTAGAAATTCCTTGAAAATTTCGAGATAAAATGTTACCTATGTCAATGTTTTCTTTGGCCTCGTCTCTAATTTCTAAACCATAAACAATACGACGCACAACTATGACGTATCTGAAGAACCAAGACATTGTTAAAGTTTACATGCTTTGACCGCTTATCTGAACACCCATTTCTTAAATTTGAACATTTATTTTATTTTTTGGTTTATTGGAGAAGGCTAAGAAACATCATGCTGCGAGATCCAAACAGAGCTGTTAAAGTAGAAATAACAAAAATTGTTAAAATTATCAGAAATAAATATAAATATATGAACAGGTTCTGTTCTATTCGGAACATAATATATTGTGCCTTTTACTTTTTGAACTTTTTTTAATTTTGTAGTAGTGTATTATAGAGACTAAAATAGTATCTACTCGCTCCGTCTAAATCAATAAGTATTAACATACTTATAACAATTCAAAAGGGCAAAACGAAAAATAATTGAAACTGTATTTTTAACTGACTTTAAAAACAAAAAAGAGGAGGTTTTCAATTCGACTGTATTTTAACTCTTTATAACTATTTAAAAATGTAATCATGTACTTTTCTTGTTTTATTCTTTTTCAAGATATTTTTA